TACAACTATTAGTTGTGTATTTATACACCTGTCTGAAAACCACTTCATCTTGTCTGAACATAACTCAGTGTTTCTCTTGCAGGTATGTGTTGACCACGGTCCAGGGGAGTACCGCTCACTGTGCCAACACAAACTGCTGACATCTTGCAGCTCCCAGCTCCCACTGCCCGCACCTACCCCCCACCCAGCTGAGGTGGACTGCCAGTCAGAGGAAGGGCACCATGCTGCTGGACGTAACACACCTTCAATGGTGAAACTGATCAATTCTGCACTGTACTGTCCTAATTTGGTTGTTTTTAGCTTCCAATATCAAAGTAAAAAATAACATCCTCCATGTTTTTTTTCAGATGAGAGCTAACAACTGAAGTGGAGTCATGGACTACTGGAGAGCAGCTGGCCTCATGGCTTCTCCATTCCAGGTGCTCACCTACTGTCAGTCATATAGTGTATTTACTTTACCTCACTTTGCTTAATAAGTTCCTAACTGTACATCCTCCCTGATTGTCCTGCTCCATGTGCTGTTGCTGTGTCACAGAGGTGTGTCAGAGGCGGTGCAGGGCTGGTCAATGTCTCTTCTGACAGATGAAGGCTGGTCGGATCTGACTGGTTCAGACTTTGTCATGATCTGCTTGGCCTGGAGCAGAAGCTGAGAGTGCTGCCTCCACCAGGAACACCCTCTTCTACAAACTCTGACTACCTGTTCAGCAGCCACGGAGACAGGTAGAGCAGTGAACGAGTGTGTCGTTTTTTGCGGCAAGTCCAGAATTCCATGGTGAGCATCTCTGTGTCTCTTTCCCTCCAGATGCCAGCTACAGATTATGGATGAACTTCATCCCACCTGCACCTCCAGTCCAAGCTCCTGGGCTGCCTCCTTATGAGGGAAACCCATGGAGAATAGATTATCCACAGGAAGGTGGTGTTACTGTCAATCCATGGTTTCTGCACCTGAACTGAGCGTTGCACAGGCCAGAAAAGTAACGCTCATTTTGTGCACTTTACTGTATGTACTATATCACATGGTTTGTTCTATTCTTATTAAGAACTAACAAACATGGTCGCACTGTTCCCTTCTTTACTGTAGCAAATGTGCATTATCATAAGACATATTAGACAAACACGGCGCGTTGGTCGCTTCAGCCCGTTGCTGCGATACGTCAACATTGCCACCTAGTTGGACCGGGCTACACCGCTCTGTAAACATATAGGAATAAACAGAGGAGCTGCAAGTTTTTCTGGATGAAAAGCTTTATAATGTTTATATTTCTCACCCAATTTCAACAAGTCTTTTTATTTGAGGGTTTATGATCTACATGTAGTGTAAAAAAGTAAAAGTTTGGTCTCCAGTTACTTCAACTCAAGATAGATTAGGCTGTAATCACTGTTTTGTGATGTGTATCAAGTGTAGGTTTACATGAACTGATTACTAACATGGTGGAAATAATTTGTTGTCATAAAGAGTATTATAACTCACGTTACTGTGGGGTTTACAAGCAGGTATTCACAGCCGTGATCAGCCACGGTACATATACACAACTCAGTACACGTGTCCTTCAACCTCTGTTCTCCACCTGTTTGTAGGGCGTGGTCGCACAGATGGATCGCCTACGTTGACGACTTGTTTGATCCCTATTCGACCAAGGCCCTCCGGTGAGTGATGTCATCAGATTTATCTCATGATGTAAACTTTAACCTGTGGTTAGTTGTGAAGGTTGTGTCAACCTGTGTCTAAGAGTGTGTCGACTGCTCCTGTTGGATTGTGTATCTCTGGTTGTATCTTATTACTGAGAGAGTGTGGAGTCACTGGGTTGTGTTTCCTCCTCATCTCACAGTGTAATGTAATGACTCATTCATGTTTGTGTGTCTATATGTGTCGTGTGCAGGACATGGACAGAGTAGCCATGCTAAAACCGGCAGGATGAGAGGAGGAGGAGGGATTGGACCCATGCAGTCCATGAGCATGTATGGGATCAGGACTAAACTGAAAGCAGGGGAAGCTCAAATGTTCTTGTTTGTTTGGTTAAAGTTCACTTGTTGATTCACCATCTGTCTCCTGAGTCTTTCCTTTTAATTCTTCCTGTTGCTAACCTATTTTGATACTCCAGTTTTTACCATGGATGTAAGATGTTAGCTTACAATCAGACTGAGATAGCAAACAAGTATAAGATGTGACAACATTAAAGTTCCTATCACTGGTATCGACACAGTGATAGACCTTAATACAAGAAAAAAAACAATGGAAGGAGTTTTTCAACATTTTTAATGTAAAGAACATTTTTGTTTTAAAACGTTTAAAAACATTATTATTGTTATTATTTTATTTTTTTTTATGATTATGTCTTTTCACCAAAATTGTACTGTTTTGCAAATGATTTGTCGGCCCAGTTGCAACAGGCTGGGAAACAGGGTTCTACGCTCTATCATCCCTGGTTTTCTATTGTACTTTCATGCATTAGCCAGTATGGTCTTGAAACATGTATGTGATATTAAAAAAGTTCAGTTTTTTCCTGTTCAGGAAACAGTAATACAGTCTACATGTCTACTTGACAAATGAAGTACATTTACAAATGCAACTACAATCCAGTTGAGACTAAATGTTGCCTATAAAAACTGTTTTTCAGGTGTGCCTATGACAATGCCAAGCTATCCTATGGGTAAGTAGAAGGTTCATGTGTTGCCATCTGTTGTACAGATTTTCTCAAGCCTTCGGTGCTTGGAAAAGACTGACTGATCAGTTTTGTAATCTGTTTTGTTTCTCTCCAGGAATGCCAGTTAACCCTTCAATGCCCAGCTATGGTGCAGCTCCCATGATGCCAACCATGACAGCCATGCCAACCATGCCAGGTAATCCTCCCTACATGAACCTTTCATCTATTTAATTACAGAAGGAGGATAATTGAGAACATTTCACCAGTAACAGAGAAATAGCCTTACAGTTACAAAGTATTAGAACTCTTCTCAACATTTTCTTTTTTTCCTTTTTTATAGACAATATGTATCCAATAGATTTTTCCCATACTATTTTACCATCAGATTTAACTCCATATAGTGTGGCTGAGACCATCGTACGTAGGAAACCCATTTTGACCATAACTTAGTGAATCTATTCATTTGTATGCAAAGTGAAAAATAATATTTTCCATTGTGTATGCTTCTATATCATCCCTGCAGCCATGATGATGGGTCAGACTGCCATGTCTGCTCCTCCTGCCTCTGACCCCATGCAGACATCAGCAACACAGCAGGCCCTCATCAACCAGCAGGCTTTACTTATGGTGAGCAGACCACCCTCAGCATACTATTTCTATAGCATGATGGTAAATTATTTCCTCCTGTATTTGCCCCCCTCCCTCCTGCCAATGTCTACCTTCCCTCTGTTCAGGCGCAGCAGATGACCCTGCAGGCAATGAATCTGTCCCAGCAGCAGATTCAGGAGCAACAGAAGAAGCAGGAGCAGCAGCTGAAGAAGGAGGAGCAGAGAAAGAAGGAGCAGGAGAGGAAGCAGCAGCAGCAGGAGGAGGAGGAGGAGGAGAGGAGGCAGCGAAGACGACAGTCCAATCGGCGCTCCAGGGAGCGCTCTCGTTCACCCTCCCCTCGAGCTCCCTCACCCCCACCTCCCCCACCCAAAACACCTGCACGTAAATTCACCTCCAACTACAGGGAGCCTGAGCCAGAGGTATATACTTAATATTTTCATAATGTGCTTATTTACACATCCTTATCTGCACTGCCTGATTCTTTACTGCTTTCTGTTTTTAAAGTTTCTTCTACGAACTATTTGTGTTCAGGTTTATACCTTCCCATCTGGTTGTTGTTCTCTCAACCTCTGACATCTCTACTTTATTGTTTTACCTGTTGCTGTTGCAGTAGCCCATTTTCCCTTGTGTATTATTTGGTCCAGTCTGCGTGCTCAAGTTGTATGTAGATGATGTTTTATATTATCTTCACAAACAAATCATTTTTACAGTCAACAAAACCCAGGACAACATCAAAACCGGCGTTTTAGTCCCTCTCTCAGGACTTTCTGATTCCCCCTACCCTGTATGCGGCTCACAGACCCAACCCCATTGGTTGCAACTGGGGACAGAAATCTTTAAAAACTCCTCACAATTATATAGTTTCATATTTTAAAAAAAAAGGTAAAGTATTTTCCTGAAACAGCTGCTCACTGTAGTATTTAATCGAATGTCACTCAAACAGGAGGACTTAGTGGGTTTGTTGGGGACTATTTTCAGCCGTGGATCAATACACATTTGGTGTTCTAGTGAATAGAGCATGAACTAGTGTTCGGAGAACTAACCTTGGGCGATATCCAAAATGTAATATCTCGATCCTGGGTTAAATTGGGATTTGTAAGGAGGAGAAGCCTTTGTCCAGTGTGTGTGTGTGTGTGTGTGTGTGTGTGTGTCCTGACCTCGATACAGTCAAGCTCAAATATTGCAATATACGATATTATGGGTATTGTTGTATTTTATGTTTCTGCTATAAGCCATGCTGCCACTTATGACACATTATGAAAAATCTTGCATATAGGGGGAAATACCGTGACATTCAATAATACTGAATATGAGCCCAACCCAGAAGGAACATGTCGCCCAGCGCCACAGTGTGACTCAGACCCACAGTGATGCACCCTATGACACAGAGGAATAAGATCAAGCCTTGGATACACAGACCATACATAGAGATACATTCATAGTCATTTAGTTGCACATGTGATTTGTTGACAATAAAGAAACTGTGTGTGTGTGTGTGTGTGTGTGTGTGTGTGTGTGTGTGTGTGTGTGTGTGTGTGTGTGGGTCCACTTCCTCCACAGCCCGAGAGAGAAGTGGACTTACCAGATCCAGATGACCTGCAGTCTTTCCGTGACAAGAAGGCGTACTTCCAAAAGATCGGTAAGTCAATCTGACAAAACAGCCATTAGTTAGACTCATATTATAAGTTGTAAAGGCTTCGCTCACTGATGTTTAAATGCTTTACATAGCACTTTGTCATGCTGCATCATCATGCTTACAGCAATATATTTTTGGTTTTCTTCATTCCTCACCATCTCTCTCTTCCATTGTCCTGAAGGCGCTCAGCCCAACGGTGAAATCAAACCCCAAAAGCCTCGGCGGCTGCCGCCCTCCAACCCACCCAGACAGCAGCAACGCTCCCCGCCATTATCTCCTCCATCACCCCCACCTACAAAACCCAAACCTAAAGGTAAGATGATGAAACAAGTTCAGGGGGCTAGATACTGTAGTATTTTGTGGAATCACTAGTCAAGGATAGATTAGCCCTAAAGGAGAAGGAGTTGTTTTTTATTTTATTCTGTTTCTCTTATCCCACAGTGAAGCCTGCCCATGACCCTCCTGCCAGGGAAGCAAACCCCCCGAAAGCAAAACCTAAACCTATCAAGCCTGAGGTCGAACCCACCTCCAACATCCGAGAAATCATCAAACAGTATAACAACCGACCACAACCAGACCCCAAACCCTTTGAGCCTGTCAGGTCAGTTCCAGTTCTCCATCTTGAACAAAGTTTCATCATATCTAACATCCAGCTGCATCCTGCCTGGACCCTCTCTACACCAACTGTGTGAATTAAAACTTCTGAATGGGAGTAAACCTCATTCTGCGCTTTCTCTTCTTTTCCTGCAGAAAATATAATAGAAGAAGGATGTTAGCACTGTATATGTAATGCCGTCTGTAATGTCTGTCATATACTGTTTTTACTCTCTTCACAGACATCCTGTAAAGCACTTTGTAAAGAGGAGTGACCCCAAAGAGGAAGCTCTGGCTAAACTCAAAGACAAAGCACCAGTGTCAAATCACAAGGTCAGAGTTGTCCAGAAATGAATCCACCCTCATGTTTGATAAAATCTCTGTTTGATAAAAAAGAATGTTCCAAAATCATCACTTATGTCGCAAGATGAAAATGAGAGTCAAGATCCTGACCAACACGGTCTTAATCAATTTTATTTGTTTTTGTATCAAAATAATACATCAGCTGGAGAATATAGCGTCGATAAAATAACGGAATCAGTATTTAAGTCCATAGAACGATAGATGTCTCTTCCTGTTACACTGACAGGGAGAGATCACTCAGTACAAACGTATTTAGAATAAGAGGTGTCCTAGAGTTTGCCTGTCTCTGTTGAAATATCCAAATCTTTGGTAATATTTGGAGGCACAGTTGAGTGCCATAATGTTCTATTCCTCTATTGAAGACACTCATACTCCGTTCAGCTACCATTACATTTGGATCTGTATAGGAGCACATACTGCTCTACAGTGCTTTATATGGTTAATACATGGTAAGAGGAAAAGAAATATATAAAGAATTATTTCTTCAAAAATCTGCAATTGAGGAGATTTTATCTCCTCTTTGCGAAACCAGTCATTGGTAATTCCTGCACTTTCATCCAATTATTATCAAGAACTGCAACAGTAATAATTTGATATCATTAATATACAACTGGCTGCATCTGGTTCTATTGAAACCTCAGTCTCCAAACTTGATGAGTGGAGGAAGATTTAAAAGGTGACATTCCAAATAATAACTGGAACAACATTAACGTGAGGAGACTGAGACACAAACAGGCCACACCAATTTAAAGCTACATCAATATAATTGGTTGATGTGAACTTATGTAACCACCTGTCCAACTGAATAAATATAGCCTAACAGTAATATGCCTGACACATGTTTTAAATGTAATGAGGTACAAGGAGCATTTTCACATTGTATTTAGGATGGCGTGGAAAGGTTGGGGACATAGTCAGTATAAAATCAATACTCTCTGAAGCCACTGTATACTGTTTGATACATCCTCACATTTTCCTGTCCGTCTTTCCTGCCTGCAGAAGAAGTGGGTGCCGCCTCCACCGCCCGGGAAGCCTGAGACGGACCAGTCTCCTCTCTGTTCCCCTTCGTCTTCACCTCCCTCCACCAGGTGCCCACGCGTCATCTCCAGCAACATGAAGCAGAAGCAGCGCTCCCTGGAAGACCTGTTCGGCTCTCAGCGCTCCAACCACCTTCCGCCTGCTCCCCCCGACTCCCCACCGCCTCCTCTACACCTAGCATCCAACCTGCAGGAGATCCCTGACCCACCACCCATGGCTGCCCCATCTCTCAGTACGTGCTGCTTGCATCGTATTTTCCAGACATTATGTTTACCAGGATTAAAAAGCCTCTTATATGATCTCATGTTTTAGCTGACAAATGTTGCTAACAAGCAATTTCATTCATGTGCCCTTCATCTACTGTTTAGTACCTGAAGCTGTGATGCTGCCAGAGGAGGACGGCATTCGCTCCACGCTCCAGCGCTTTTCTGCTGGTGTCTACTTCTCTCACTCCAACATGCCAGGAAAAGTGTTCATGCGAAAAGAAGTTAGAAATACACACACACACACACACACACACACACACACACACACACACACACACACACACACACACACACACACACTTATCAGGAGACCAGTCATTCACTTATCCCATATTTTCCTCTCCTTCTTCTTCTTCTTCTTCTTCTTCTTCTATGTAACCTTTGTTTCGATTGTTTCTTTGATAACTTATGATCCATCAGCTCCAGCAGCTGAATTATCCACAGAGATTTCCTCCTCTCCGTAACAAACACACCAGGGGGTTAAAACCAGTAGAAACACAGAATAAAGCAGTTTACATTTAAAAATCAGTGATTAACCGACACTGTTCAACAGACACAGGATGAGCAGCAGGGAGCTGAGCTGTCTAACATTTCCTCAGCTTGTTTCTCTGATAACTTCAGATCCAGACGTCCGACGACTAAAATCCTTCATCTCTAAAATGGCCTGTACCCCCTCCTGAAAGTTGTTTCTGATTTCAGCCATTTGCCCTTAGATGGTCTGTGCACACAGCAGTGGGTAGGGACAAAGTAAAGCATGTGGAGCATCATGTCTCAGAACAAACCACACACGTCCTGAAGAAGGAATCATAGTCAGTATCCTGCAGCCGGAATGTGCTGCTTTTCTGGAGAGTTGACGTGTATCAACATGGAGAGACAGGACAGTGACATATCCTCACAGGTCCTCGCTGATGTTTGTGCTCACTGACCTCTCCAGCAGCAGCAGCAGCCTGACTAACATTCACCTTCATCTTCAGCATAGAATCTCACCCGTCTGTGCTGCACACAGACCACTGTGCAGTGCACAGCGGTTGCTTGGATACATTGTTCAGCTCTTTCTTTTATACCTGTATGCGGTACGCTTTTGTTTTCGTCTCCATTTTCAAACCCCGCCTCCTCTCCACCCCTCCAGACAGGAGTCGAATCAACCAATCAACTTGCGCGATGCACAGGTCTATCCAACTTGTAGTTGAGATTGGGGAGGAGGCATACGCAAAGGCTCCGCTGTGACCTACAATGACTTTTTATACGGTGGCCCTGAGCAGACACAAGCGTGGGCCGCTGAAGGTGTAGTCCTCACCACAGCAGTGTGGGTCGAGTTCAACCCAAGACCATATGCTGTATATCATCCTCTCTCTCTCTCTCTCTCTCTCTCTCTCTCTCTCTCTCTCTCTCTCTCTCTCTCTCTCTCTCACACACACTATTGCTATTGAATTAAGGCAAAAAGTAACTCCTTGTTCAATGCTTTGTGACTTTTGAAGTGAAAAGTATTGAACAACAAGTGCGTCCCAGTCAGGTTCATCACTTTTTAGTGTCCCCCGGAAACACTTCCGTTGTGTTGTGAGTGTTTGCAGCACACGTGTTGTTAAAATCTAACCCTGACCCACCATAGAATGAATATTTACTGTATAACATATATAGATTATTAACTTTTCATCTGCACCACCTGCACCAGGAGACATAACAAGGAAAAACACAGCTGTTTTCACTCTGTTCACTACACATTAGATTTGAACTGGACACCTCACTTCTATAAAAGCCCACTTCTCTAACCATAAGTCTAATGTATTTGTCTCCAGGTGTTTTATCCCAGAGAGATGTTCAACCAGCCTTACATCCTCAACCTGCTGTGTGAACAGGTTAGTGGATTTAAAGTTGTCTGATACACTGTATATTTATCTACAGTATTCTTCAGTTCAATGCTAATTACCCCCCATCCACTTTAGAGGCAGTAAACTCTCACACTGACATTGCTGTTGTGTAATGTTTTTAAGATCATGAGGGACACATACTCTGATGGCTGTGTGAGGATCAGCAGAGAGGAGAGGAGGAAGATGAAGGATCTGCTGGGTGAGGGTTGTGACAGATTATCAGCAGGCTGGATGCTGCAGTTGTTGCAGTGTCAAATAAAATGTTCATAATACAAGCTGAGAAAAACATCAGGATCTCTCTCTATCAGAGGATGGAGGGAATATTCTGTTTCAGCATGCAAGGGGATCACTCACTATCATTTTTACCGTTCGTCCCTCCATAGCCAATTTCAGTGTGGGAACGACTATAAGCACCATCCAGGATGACCTCATGAAGAAGAGGATTGTCATGGCCGCTCGAGACAACTGGGAAAACTACTTCAGTCGACTGTTCCCTGTGAAGGTGAGATGAAAGCATTGTAGGATCTATTATTATATGACATTGCAGCTACATTCATAAAGCACATTCCACACACAGAGGCAAATTTAAAAGTAGAAAAAAAATATTAGAACAACATTCAACTAGAATCACCTCCTCATGTTTGTCTGCCTCCTCCACTCAGACTAGTTTCAGGTTACATCCTTGTTTATCCAGAGTCTTTATGACCATTTTTGTGAATTTTTTTCATAATTGCTGTGTGAAGTCTTGAGTAATGGCTTGAGATATTGCATTCACAAGACCAAAATCATGTTTTGGGAGGTCACAATGACCTTGACCTTTGACCTTTGACCACCAAAATCTAATCCCTTTATCCTTGAGTTCTTGTGAATGATTGTGCCAAATTTGAAAATGTCCAGGCATTACAGAGATATCGTGTCCACGAGAATGGGATGAACGGACGGACAACCTGAAAACAATATGCCTCCACCTCTGACTGTCGCCTGCACGGAGGAATAAATACAGCAAGCAATATGAACCAGAATAAAACTAATTAAGATAGAATAAAATGAATGAAATACAGTTACAGTGCGGTGATGATTTTTACGTTTTCCCAAATGCAACAAAAGAAATGAAAGTGCAGAAGAGAAACCAACAGAACCAATTTAGAGCAAAAAATGTCTTGAGTTGAGGAACGTTTGGTTGTTGGCTTGTTCCATCTTTGTGCAGCATTGCAGCAAAAAGCAGCTTTGTCCTGTTTGGTTCGGACTCGAGCTGACTTTCTCCTAAAGATCTAAGAAACATATTTTGACCTGAGTTTGCTGAGAGATTTATAAATTAGCAGCACTTTAAGATTGATTCCATAAATGACTAGAAGCCAATGTAAAGTTTTTTTCAACTGGTGTAAAGTGATCAGTGCTCTTGGTCCTTGGAGTTCTGGCAGTGGCGGTCAACTCTAGGGAGAGTCCTGGTTCTGAACTTCTTCCAGTTCACAGTTATTGAGGCCCCTGCGCTGCTGGGAACACTCCGAGCTTTAGAAATGGGTTCAAACTCTCCTGTCTTCTGTCCTGATCTGTGCCTCACCACAAAGAGTTCATTGGACTTCCTGGTTTGATATTTGTACTGACATGCATTGCAAATTGTTGGACCATATATTTATACATTTCTAAAAACATGTTTTCACTCTGTCAAAGTGTTTCACACATTAATGTCATTAGTTGTTGGATTTCTACAGAAGTAGAGTGACTGTTCACCATTTACAAATATTAAAAACACCTTTCCCTCCCCTGTGTGTACTTGTTGCAGGCGGACGGTGGGGATGCTCAGGTGCTGGGTGTCTCTCATCGTGGGATTCATCTCTTGAAGGTCATCAGAGCATCAGGCATCATCCCCAAACATCTCCGTCTGCTTAGAGGCTACAGGTAAACAAGCAACTGATCCAACACAACAGATCATCACTTTGTTAAATCACTTTGTTTAAAATGGTTTGAGTTTGAGGAAATTAATAAGTTTTCATTTATGTTTCATGCTAAACATTTGTCCCAACCTAAATGGGATTTCAAGATATAAGGAATGGCTTTGGAACCATATATAAATGTTATTGTGAGAATAAACACAAATTAAACATACTTGCAACACCATTGCAGATTCAGTCTCTAAGGGCCATTCTGAAATAAACAATGCATGAAATCTACTGTGGCCTCTATCTGACTTGGCAGTTGGCAGTTTGATACCCAGCAGAATGAAAGTGTCCTTGGGAAAGACACTGAAGCCCAGATTACTCCCAGTGGCCAGGGCAGCGCCGTGCACATTGGTTATTATGATAAAGACTAAAAGACTGGGATATTGGGGATACTCAACCATGATCTAGCAACCTTCAACTTCAAACTGCATTATGCATTGTTGACTAGCTGCAGGCTGGCAATAGTAGTAGTGGGCCTGGCAAAAGTCGGAGATCACTTTACCATTCAAGTGAATGGGAAAGTGGTTTCAGAGATTTGATCCCACAGAACTGAAAACAAAATTCAGTTGATATTATATTTAAATTCCTGGGATCAGGTGTTGTTAGCCTATTTATGATTGTTGTCATTTTATTAAACAAATTTATCACTACACAAGAAAATGCCTCTCAAAGCCAAATCAAGTCATTTTAAAGAAGGAAGTAACAGTTGGGCTCAGATAATAAAAATGTTCTGTATTTAATCCAAACATTGATCTTTGAAACGAATGAGGGAAATACTTGCTTTTTAATGCCTCCCTCTTGCTGCGGGCTCACAGGTGAGCTCTGATGTCACAGCCACACAGACAGGTCTCTATTGAAGAGAAATATCTGGCTCTGTAGCTGCCAAGTTCTCCTCTGGGTCATTAACTTTGAAAGCAGTTAAATGATGTTGATGAGAGCGGTGAGAGTAAACTCAAACTGTGAAATTCCAGGCTCTAAAGCCTGAGACGAACTGCAGAGTTGGTGATAATCCTCTGTGGGTCCATCAGTACAAATGACACATTTCACATTACACAAAGTCATTTTTCCAGTGTTGATATAAACATTTGGATTAGTGCAGCTTTAATTCATAATATCCTAGGAATTCTCTCATATTCATTCTCTACTCATTCTACTACAAGCTCTACTTTTTATAGTCAATCTGATATCGTTGCTTTCATTTTAAACTTTGTAGCTCATGTCTCTTGCACAGAATTTGAACTCAGGTCTGCATGACTGTAGTTTTGCAGAGTTGCTGTCGGTCGACCTCCAGGGTTCAGACCGAGTGGAGCTGGAACTGAAGAGTGAGAACCTGGTGCTGCAGTCCACCAGAGCCCCTCAGATCACTGCCATGATCCGACTATTCCTTCAGGAGCTCATCAAGGTAGTTTCTTTATCGTCATCATTCATTTTATCATCTGTCCTTTTAATGCTCTGTGGCATCATGGCCATGACCATGTGTCAGAGCCCTATCACTTTGAGTCCATGTATCATCCTCCTGGACGTCTGTCTCTCTGCTCTCTAGGACTCTGGCCATGTTGTTGCCCTGAAGAGTTTTGTGACAGATGACAAGAGTTTGCTCAGTTTCAGCAGAGGTGACATCATCAAACTGCTGCCAATGGAAGGACTCCAGACAGGTGAACTCGTCTAACTATCTAACTGTCTGTCTGTCTGTCTGTCAATTTTCTCAGCAAGTGCTTATCCAATCCACTTCCAAACTTCCAGGGTGTATTGCTGAGGACCTGAGGGAGCACAGTGTTGACAGTGAAGGTTTTTCGATGAGTGGTTCTAAAGAAATATCACTAATATAATATTGCTTTTCTACGTTACTTGATGTGAACGAAAAGCTGGAACTACTTTACAAGGGCAGTGCAGCATCTGGACATTTTATTTATTATTCCTAAAGCCCCTGCACATGCCAGGGAAGGTGGAACTCAACTGCATCTGCACTTTGAGTGTGAGGTCAAGCAATCAGCCTCTAGCAACAGGCACATTTTGAACAGACACTGCACTAGTTGCAATGATGCTAGATATAGTGTATGTTTGTGATAGTCTCAGGTTAGATTTTGTCTGGTCTATTTACCATCAAATAACTTTTTTTGTGTGTGGTCCATAGGCTGGCGTTTCGGTTCCATGGGAGGGCGCTCTGGTCTTTTCCCAGAAGAAGTCACTCAGCCATCTGCGGCGCCGGACTACCACTGCTTCCACCTTGACCGAAGAGATGATAGGAGGAAAAGCATGAGGGGTGCTACACCTGTCAGTCCACCCAAAGGCCACCCATCTCCAGGTCCCGTCAGCAGACGCATGGCCGGTGCTGATTCAGAGCGGCCCAGCAGGGAGGCCTTGCCCCAGGGTTTGGGACAGGGATTGGTGTCAGGATCAGCACACAGCTCAATTCAGGGCTCAGTACTTGACATGGAGATCCTCTCAGCCATGGCTAAGTTTGCCCTTAAGTACTTTAGGTATGATGTAAAGATGTTGAATATGTTGTTGATTCCACTGAGGTAGTTTGGGTTCATGTAACATGGTGTGGTTAATTCTGTGCTACTGTTATTTCTCTATTAAAGAGTGGGGGGTACAGGTCTGCCAGCCAGTGGAAGGAACTTTTCAGAGGTGGTTCAACACACAGAGGTAAAACAGTACAACCCCTCTATCATCACTTCCCATGTTGTGTAATTGTTCCTCCTACATTTTTTGTCCGTGAACACATCTGTACGTGTGTACAATAAGCCTTTGTCTAAGCTGCCGTCTGTCTAAAATGCTAGAATCACCGCAGACCTGATCATAGTGAATTAACTGCTGCCACTGCTGTTGTTTACTCACTTACTCATTTTAAGTGATTCTGCTTTGACATGGTCCAAATCAGGGGTCAGACGTTTCAAATTAAATCCCCAGATTGTTATTAAAGATGTCCCATAAGGATGGATCGATAATAGCCACTGCTTTTGCTTTTGTCTTGTGGCTTTTGCATTTGTGTTGTTGCTTTTGCATTTGTGTCATTTTGTATTTGTGTTGTTGCTTTTGCATTTGTGTTGTGGCTTTTGTATTTGTGTTGTGGCTTTTGTATTTGTGTTGTGGCTTTTGGATTTGTGTTATTGCTTTTTCATTCATGTTGTGGCTTTTGCATTTGTGTTGTGGCTTTTGTATTCGTGTCGTTTTGTATTTGTGGTGTTGCGTTTGCATTTGTATTGTGGCTTTTGCATTTGTGTTGTGGCTTTTGTATTTGTGTTGTTGCTTTTGCATTCGTTTTATGGCTTTTGTGTGGTGTTGACCCGTCTGGGCCACTGCACTGGAGATCATTTACCAGTGTTATTCCATTCATTACTACACTGAGAGATATATGACAAGGTCAGAAGTCGTCACTGACATCCAGAGGGCATCAGGACACCTGTATGTTCTTTTGTATATAACAGCTTGCTATCGAAGTTTCCCAGATATTTAATTTCCTTAGCTGTCAAAGTGAACAACCATGTTAGTGAGACTTCCTGAATAAATAAAATTGAACTAACTGAAGCATGTTTTATTTTCATGCAGGTCCCCATACAGGAGTCCCTCATCCTCTACAATGATCCTGAAATCAATGATTTATCTGTCCAGTGCTTCACGAGTGAGTTCATCCACACTATCCTGCTAACATTCACTGAGACCACTGTTTTGTTTGTTTGTTCCTCCGTCATCCTTCCATTTATCTGCTCCTCCAGACTTGATGCAGTTCATGGGTGACACACCAATGAAGAAGAATAACACCCAGTCAGACTGCCTGAGCCATATCTTACTGGTCAGTGTCATTCACACTGTATATCTGTAAGATAGATGGATTTCAGATAGACTGAGACTTTGACTTTGGGGTTTAAAGAAGAGTTTCTCTGTTCTGTTCAGCTAGGGAAGGAAAAGGAGCTGCTGAGAGATGAAATCTACTGCCAGGTCATCAGGCAGACCACCAACAACCCAACCAAGTGAGTCTCTGACATTTTTATATCATATCAAGCACAAGTTAATACAAACTAATGACAGGAAATAGATTAATTCCTTAAGTTCTGAAAATTCTTAAAGCTGATATACTAATGCTTGGTTGATTTACTTATATATATATATATACACATATATATGTATAAAGTAAGTAGGTTTGAAAGAAGTCATACATTCATTCCACTTCAATCTGCCTTTGTGTGAAGAGAACCCAAAGGTACACCATGCTTTAAACGGATAGTTCGGATTTTTGACGTGGGTTTGTGAGGTACTCATGAATGGTCTTTACATTACCCAAAGTAAATTCTGTTCAGCGCTGTCTTTCTGATTCACTCAGCTGACCTACAGCTGCGGCATAACACAGTGCGCTCCGTGGGTGCACCAGTGCACAGGCATACGGTAGTTCAGCAGTTGTAAAATGTAGTGCTAAAAGAAAGTGCTGCTTTCACATTTTCTGTGATTTTCATCCAAACTCTACAGCACATATACAGTAAACACAGGGTAGAGCAACAGCAGGCGAACATTGAGAACCAAACAGCAAAAATCTTAACCAGCAACAAGAGTATCACTCCAGACTTTCTTCTCACTATTTCTTAGTTATGGTCTGACATTGTGTGTCACCTCCACAGATCCAGCTGTACCCTCGGCTGGCGGCTGCTCAGCCTGATGACCGGGTTCTTCTCCTGCTCTGGTACTCTTCAGCCGTACGTCACACATCATCTACACACCATCTCTCAGGACTACGAGCACCCTTACCAAGGTAGGAGAAACACAAGACAGTGGATACACACTCATATCAGCTGCAAATAACACACACACTCCCACAAAAATGCTAATCTTTCCACGTCTTGCCCTCAGAGCTGGCACACTTGTGTCAGGATAACCTCCAGCGAACTCTCAGTTTTGGCGGTCGCCGTAGCCTCCCCTCAGATGTCGAGATGGAAGCCATTCTGGTAAGTTAATATACACACTAATGCACATGAAAGCAAATCACTGATGATGTATTTCAACTGTTTTTGCTATGGTTTCCTGCAGGCTGGCAAAAACTTTCGCCGTACTCCTCTCCAGCTGCCAGGAGGCGTAGACTTCGCCATCAAGATACGCAGCTTCACTGTAAGATTGATTTAAACCTGCTTTATCTTTGAACAAACCATCTGTCTTTTTGCGTACAGTTAACATCCCTGTGGTTGTTTTTCTTATCTTCCACTAGATGGCAGCAGATGCGGCAGCAGACGTCTGTAAAAACATGGGTATCTCGGAACCCGCAGAGATCAAAGAGTTCGTCATCCTCGCCATTAGACTCAAAGGTAAATTAGATTGATGCTCTATGTACGTGATGTAGTGAAGCGGTGTTAGACTCATATATTAATTCAAAGATGTTATCTTAATTGTTCTTAAATTCTTAGATTAAGATCTTAGATTTTAACTGTAGCTTGTTGTTTACAACAGGCCCTCATCCTGAGTTAAATATATTGATGTTTTTTGGATTTATATGCCTTCCTCCTCCTCCTCCTCCTCCTCCAGCTGATTCAGCAGCTTTTCTACTCTGACTAAAGTGAAATTCTGGAACATCTAACACAAAAACAGATGCTTTTGTCCGTCAAAAGATCAAATTTAAAGGGTCACGTCACTAAAATTACATGAATAAGGTATTTTCTCATGTAACTCCAGTAGCCTACAGTGTTTGTCAGACTTTTTCTGACCAAGGACTTAACCACAAACGAAACTCACGGACCACCTAACTCCACAAACACCCCCCAAAAGCAACAAGGCCCATTACTTCAGCGGAAGCATAGTGAGCTTGCGTGGAAATATTACAGCTGGGAGTTTGAATGATCAGCTACCCGCATCAAGTCGCTTCACCTTGCCTGCTCTGTCCGAGGTTTAATTAGATTTTCTTGTAAATGACCTGATCTTAAGTCACCGCTGCATGATCTTGTCTGTTGTCCGTGTTTTATCGTTAATAGGCTGATAACTGGTGAAATTTAGCGCAGCCCCAAGGCAAGCTAACCGTTAGCTTCATCCACATTTCCCTTCAGATGTAACACAGATCATTTTTGACATAAATCGTAAAAGATAAACCTTAAACTGGCGAAGCTGCATGAGTAGACCGTGTCGCAAAACAGTCGGTTACAGTAAAATGTTTATTAGTGCTGAAAAGGCTCAGTAAGGCAATCCAATAATAACGTGTGGAGTCTGAGGATTTGCTGCTGAAATGTGGCTCTTTCAGAACAACTGAGTGAACCTTTAATGTGCCGCATCAGATGCGAGTTAAACAGATAAAACAACAGATTAACAGATTGGTGTCCTGCTCCTCCTCCGTCAGACGGGTTGGTGCGCCCCCTCCATCCTGAGGAGTATCTGTTCGACTTCCTGCTGGACGACAACTCCATGTTCTTGTCTCTGAGGAGAGTGATGTGGAGGAGCCCCCTGTCCTTCAGGAGCGACCTCTACCTGGAGTTCCACTACCAGCAGGTGACCAGCTCACTTCACAGCAGCTTCTCTAACCACTGCTCCAGCTCCCATCTCACTGTTATCTATGTTATCTGTGTGTGTGTGTGTGTGTGTGTGTGTAGCTCCTGAGTGACTACCTGAGTTGGCGGCTGATGGTTCCTCTGGCTGCAGATGGTTCTCCATCAGTCCAGCACATAGCAGAGCTATCAGCTCTGCAGCATCTGGCTCAGGGACAAGGGAACCCCCCCTCACTGTGAGTCTCAGTCTCAGTAATCCAATACTGATCAATGCAGGACTGTAATATTTGTGGAGACTGGTCCATTGGTTAGCATAGCTTAGGATAATGTCTGGAAGCAGAGTGAAACAGCTAGCCCAGTTAAAGAATACACCAACACTGAAGCAGGAATATAAAACTTTGCGGTTTGAGGGGGAGTTTGTAGCTGGTACTATTTCCTGACAGTGTATCCATCCACCAGGTACAGAGCCAGGCTAGCAGTTTCCCCCTGCCTCTGGTCTTTATGCTAAGCTAGGCTAACCATGTCCTGACTCCAGCTCAAAACTTAACACACAGACAAGAGATTGATATTGATCTTCTCATCTCACTTTTGGAAAGAAAGCAAATTTCCCAAAGTGTTCAACTATTCCTGTAAGGCCCCCAGCGTTGTATACAGGAAGTGCAGTTATAATAATAAACATATAACATCAGCAGAATTTTGGATTAGGATAAATGTATATATTTATATATATTTAAGGAACTGTGACAAAGCCGTGTAGTGTACCAAACTAATATCAGTCGATTATCATTAAACAAATGGCCAAACTCCACCATCATCTAAATATAAGTATGGGTTTTGTTTATTGACACCTGGGTGATTGTGTTTGTCTGTCAGGCCAGAGGTGAAGGAGTACCTGCCCTCACAGGACAGGATCAGCATTAAAGCTGAGGAGATCCATTCACTGTGTCTGCGTCACATACTCACCCTGCAGTCCCTCAGTCCTCAGGACGCCAAGATACGACTCATCAGTGAGTAGCACCTCCTCCTCTCCTCTCCTCTCTTGTTTCCTCTCCTCTCCTCTGCTCTCCTGTTTACATCATAACTGATAATAACTGTATTTGTCTGAATCTTTCAGAGTTCATGAGCACGCTGCCTTTGTTTGGCTCCAACACTTTCTTGGCCCAGAAGGTCAGCCTGCGTGGCTGCCCCTCCCCCTGCGTGGTCAGCATGGGCCCTGAGGGAGTGCTGTTCATTAACCCTAAAACACAGGTACACTCAGCAGTGCGCAACAGTCAACATTGTTTCTAACATTCATAATATTCAAACCTAACCTTTTTCATACTCAATTATTATAAGGTATAAATGTTTAGGCAAAATGTAAATGTAAGGGCATCAATATGTCCTTATTAAGTGTCACAAAGTCTCACATTTTCTTAGTGTAAGGTCTCAGATACCATAAAATTTGACTTTTTATTTTTTCACCAAGAAATGCCAGATTTCTTGTCAAGACTCAGATGAATCCAGAACAAGTTTAGGGGTACAGCTTCACTCAGTGGCAATCCTAGCCATAGAAAACTTTTGGCAGATGCTACAATTTACAGATGTACCCTAAACGCCTCAAAAGCAAGCTATGGAGAGACCTTAGAGCTCACATCATCAGAGGCACTGTGTAGTGTCTTTATGGGAAGTTTAAGGGGTGTTATAGTTGTCATTACAAAATGTGCCACTATGAGGGGCCATTGGGGGCCCCTTTTCCCCTCTGGCGCTTTTCTACACATTTCACATCCATTTCACATTTTCAGGGATTTTGAGTCATTTTTCAGTCAGAAACAAGTTAGTTTGGCAAAGCTCGAATCTCGAGCAGCATTCGGCCTCTGTTGGGACCCAAATCTCTCTCCTGATAATAAAGAAATTCTGAGTGGATAACAGAAGTGTATGACACTAACTGCCCAACATGTAGTATCGTCCGTCTGATCACTGACGTTTCTCTCCCCTGCAGGAGCACGTGTTTCTGATTCCTCTGGCAGATGTGCAGTCCATGAGAACCATCCGCGCCAAGAAACAGGGCAAAATGCCATCAGTCGACATCAATTACGGCAGTTCAGCTCGGCCCACAAAAGTCACCATTCATCTCAAACAGGTAACGACTTACACTTGTAATTACATATTGATTTTGTACAAAAACTTCACACAGTTCCCTGTATATATATATATAGTTGTAATGAGTCCTGAGAGAAACCGTGTGGTAACAGAATGATCCGAAATTTCATCCAGCGTCACATGAAGAATTAGACATTGTTGTCCATAAAAATATTTGTTGAGGCGCAGTGGGAAAAATGTACTAATCGATATTTTTATATGAACAACAGTGTAACATGTCATAGTCTCAGCTCTATTGAGCATGTTAGCATCTGCCTCATCACTGTTTGGTTTTATCGGCTGTAGCTTTAAGTTTTGATTGAGTCTCACAGCTTGAAAGCTGCTGAACATCTTGGAGCATTTAGCAGCTAAAGAGACAGACATTTTTTTGATGAACAATGAATATTGGACTGACATTGGCAGACCCAAATCCATGCTAATGTTGCTAACGTTTGCTGGATGTGTAAAGAGAAAACATTTTGCTAAAACAACCTTGATATCAGGTTTTCAGCTTGTTCCGCTGCCCCCAAGTGACCAAAAAAAATCATTGACTACAGCTTTGACATTGTTTTATCAACCTGACACTTTTTCCTGGCTTTATGGGAACTGGTTGATGCTATGGATTTCATGATATTTAAATTTTAAATGCACTGGTCAAAAGTCAGATAAAATAATCCTGGAGATTTGTGCACACACCTCAAATTTAATGTGCCCCTCTGTCTTCCAGGTGAAAGAGTTGTGCCACATCCTCGCTGTGATAATGGAAGAGTTGATTGGGCCACCAGCCAGCAGCTCTGTTTCCAGTAACCTGTAGACACACACACACACACACACACACACACACACACTATCTCGTTGAGGACTTTACATTTACTAACATTCATTTCACTCTTACTGTAAACTTAAAACACGTCTTCATCTTAAAATGTAATGATTGACATTATGGGGACTTTCTCTTTGTCCCCATAATGTGACTGTGTATGCACACACACGCACACACACACACACACACACACACACACAGACAGACAGACAGACAGACACTTGCACAGTGTGTGAGTTTTTGTTAATCACTGTCTTCTATCACTGACTTTATTTTTATGTACTTTTTTTGTTAATTTATCTTTTGTTTTTTTTTTCGGTGTAACTTGAAAACTGTGTCACCAATATGAACAATGAACATGAATACACAGACATGCTGATGTTATCTTCAGTGTTAGGTTGTCTGAGAGGAAATGATTATACGATTCAGGAGTCACTGGCATAATTCACCAGCTGTTGTATGAATGTCAACCAACGCCTTAAAATTGCTTTCAATGTAAAGTTTGTTCATCATTATTGGACGTTATTGTAATAATATTTTGAGATATACGAGAATAATTTATAAGCATTAAAGATATATGTTGATTTAATTCATCTCATGTTTATTTCTTTTATATTTTCTTATACCGATGCTGCAACAAATGTAACTGATTTTGAGAAAGAAAAGTTTCTGTTTTTTCTGTGGATTCTAAACTTTCTGTTGTAACTTTAAAAGAACTGAACATGATCTTGTCATGTGTGGCATGGCGGTCCAGTGGTTTGCACTGTTGTCTCACAGCCATAAGTTTCTTGGTTCAAAGCTGACATCTGATGCGGGCATTCTATGACATAATATACTATGACATTTTTATGCTTTACTACAAAAATGAAGTGGTGGTACGCTACACCACTATGAGTTTCATCGTTCTAAACACAGTCTGTCTAAATATACCACCTGTGCTTGTCCTGTCTCCTGTCGGCGGTGGACATGGTGGAGGTGAATCCTCTGTGGGGTTTGAACGGAGGATTCAGCACGGCGGTCTACCTGCTGCTCGGCTGTTTCGACATGTCCGTGACGGTGACACCTCGTCAGATTACTGCCTGCCTGAGCCTCGACGAGGACGACACCGACCTCTCCCACTGCACTGACGAACGCCTGAACGCGTCTGATCACCAACAGCAGTTTGAATTTGATCCTTTAACGTGTCAGTGAACTGCAAGCTTGTGTTTACCAAACCGGCTGTGTCTTTGGTTTGAAGTGTCACAGACCAAAGATAAAGATGTAATGTCCATCTCTGCTGGAGCAAACAAGCACAATGTCATCTATTCCTTAACCTACTGTACTAATTACTTTTTGAAGGATTACTTAAGTCTATAAAATGTCATAAAAGAATAAAAATATTTAAAGTGATGTGTTCGTATTACCTATTTTGTCCAATCAAGTCCAAAATATATTCAGTTGTAAAGCCGATTAAAAGGCGCAAGTAGAAAATGTTTGGACTTTTTGTTCGTCAGTTTCAATTTCAATTAATTTTCAATTTTCAATTAATCATTTTAGCTCTTATTTTCATACATACAACTGCAAATACATGAAATTAATTACAAGAAAAAAAAGTACTGTAAAATTACTTGATTACATGTAAAAGTCCTGCATTCAATTTAAGTAAAAGTATGTAAACATAATCAGTAAAATGTACTCAGAGTATTAAAAGGAGAAAATTGATTGATTTCAATGACAGTGAAGCAACAGGGAGAAAAGTAGTTAAATAAAGCTTTAGCCAGGACTAACCAGCTAGCTGTAGCTGGACTTAGCTCTTATTTTGACAGTTTAATTTAATCTTAAATTGTGGTTACTTTGAACTTTTACATGTCATCAAATGTCAACAAGTCAGATTCAGGTTGTAACTTAATTTAGACTAAATGTGTAGTTTTAAATTTGAAAGCAAAGATCAGTGATTAACATGCATCTCATTTGTATCTGAAAAACTTTTAGCATTGATCAAAACTGTCAATCGAGTTGTTGATTGAGAGTAAATTAACCTGCAATTAATTAATTGTTTTGGTTCTAGCTGTGTTTTATCAAATTACAACAAAATAACATCCAGACAACACATATAGAACTTGGCGTCAGGATCCACAAAATGATTTATCGCTGCAGCTCTATGTAACTGTCAAACTCTTTCTTTAAATCGATTGTGAAACTTGAAGAGAGCGTCCAACATTTAGGATGAAATTCTCACAATGTTATGACCAAAAATGACAAATAATACAAAACTTTGTTGTGCATAAATGTGTGAGAATTTACATTTTTTATTTAAGTAAAAAAAACAAAAAAAAAACTCAAGATCACTGTTTTCTCACAGTGCTGAATTTCTTTTGCAGCAGCACTTTATACTTTATTTATCCTGATTAGAAACACATTTTCCATCATCTCATACTGCACAGAACAAATTGACCATGATATTCTTAAATGCTTTTTAACAAAATTATCATTCCAGTGACACAAACAGGAGTTCAACTTCACATACACATTTTTCTGCATTAAATAAAAGTCGTGCTGTGTTTGAGGCCGACATGTTTTCAGTGATTCAGCTCTGAGGTCAGAGAAGGAGTGAAGGAGTGAAGAAGGAGTGATGAAGGAGTGATGAAGGACAGATAATCAGGTGGAGGATGGGTTTTTAAGATTTTTTTTAAGTCTATCACAATAGCCACATGCCCATATGTCCTGTGAGGTGAAACAGATATACCCAAAATTAGCAGGTATAAGTGGGTTTTTTAAACATGGGTAAACCCGCTAATAACAGCCAATTGGCCCCTTTTCCACTGCAAGTTTGTCTTTCTGTTTGGACTGAAGACACACACAACTGCAAGGAGTTTCTACCTCAGACAAAAGCCCGATGTTAGCGTTGTGATGTGGGACTGTTAGGAGAGAGGACATGTTGGACTTCTTTGGTCAACTTATACAGTGGATTCATTTACACACTGAACTCAGACACTCCTATAAAAGTGAATCTAGTGCAATACAGCAAACAGGGAGTGATGTCAGACACAATCCTCAAGTTCAGCTCGAGATAAAATGAGGCTCAAAATCAAGTCAAGGAGATTCACGAGTGTCGTGCTGCATGTTTCACGTTGGTTGACGCAGTATTTACCACAACAGAACTGCTGGTGGCGCTGTACTTAACGCCAGTCGATTGATATGCAGTCATTATTTTAGGTTCAACATTGGTTGACAATGATTGGCTGAATCCACAAAGGTCAGAGCAGCTCAGGTCTGAAGCCTCATCACTATTTAAAAGGTACATATGAGCATGTGACCGTTGTATTTATATAGACTTGAATAAAATCTTCAGTCCACGTCAGGTTTTCATACCACGTTGGGTCCAGACTCCAGATCCAGATGGAGGCTTTTCAAATCATCATTAAAGCAATAGTTTGACATTTTAGCACCACTTTACAATCACACCACCCTTATAAAGGATTTATAAATGATTTATAATTCGGTTCTTAACACTTTATAAATCATAAACTATTATAAACAAGTAATAACACAGTTTTCATAATTGATGCAGGCTCACTATTTGGGAAGATCAAGTTGATGCTTATTACTCATTAATCTTACTAATGAGTTATTGCCATTTATAACTGGTAAAAGGAGCCTTATAGTAACTCATTAATTAATGATGATGTGTTTATAAATGTTTGTAAAAACGAGATGAAGAAACATGAAGATGATGGAGGGAGAATCACATAGATGTGAAGAGTGGGACAAAGAATGGGTGAACAGTTACCCAAGGAAAGGAAGTTTACCACCTGGATGATAAAGCCCTAAAGAAGAGAGCAACCAGCAGAAAGCAGCTCCACTGTGTTAATCTCCACTGTGCACAACAATCTGATCAACAGCTGTGATTAGAATGAGGACGGCTGCTGAGAACATGTCAAGGTCAACAACACTGTCAAGGCCTTAGAGGATGAATCTGCTCATTTTGATAATTTGAAAACAAAGAAAGCTCAGTAAATAATGAGATATGAGGCTTCACAGTACAGATACAAGTGGGTTCACTATTTGGCAAGAAACAGATCACTGTTGACCTTTTTATCTAATATGACTGTGTGCATCTTACAAATTATTTAAGTGTTAACAAGCTAATTAATAAACTAGTTATAAACCAGTTATAAACCATTTATAAATCCGTTATAAGGGTAGTCTTATTGTGGTACTAAAGTGGTACTGACATTTTCAGGAATACACTTACTTGAATCAGAGGAGAGGATCTGTGTGTTAGATACTGTCACACAACCTCTGTAAACCCAGGACCATCTGTTTGTCTGGATGAAGGAGACGTGTTAAAGGGACAGATTCATCTTCAATCCACAAAAACTGAAGTGGAAAAACGACAAATTGAAATTAAAAATAAATTAATTTAAAAATAATCGGGCCCTGACAAACTGCAAATTGATGTTTTTTGTTCAAATTAGATAATGAGTAAGCTTTAGACAGGGTTTCAGCAGGTTCACCCAGTTCAAATTTAAGACCTTTTAAATCCTGCTCCAGAGTAAAACCAGTGCGGACAATACGGCCTCGAATTATTCACCAAGTGATCAAAATTTATTGACATTTACATCACATTTCTGTCAGTATTTCTAATGCCTAATAATATCCTTCATTAATAGTTAATCACGATATGGATAAGCAGCAGGACACGGAGGAAAGACCTGCAGAAACCCTGATCAGAGCCAGGCTAACAGTTTACACAGGTTTGTCAGTCTTTAAGCTAAGCTAAGCTAAGCTAAGCTAAGCTAAGATAACTAGCTGCTGGTTGTATCTTCATATTTATTGTGAAGACATGAGAGTAGCATCACTCTGAACATGTAACTCTCAGCTAGAAAGAACTGTTCTGACACTGATGCTGCGTTCACAGACTGAATTTAAAGGAAAAATTGCAGCGTTCCGTGAAAGCTGATTTACAAAATATCTGAACTTGTGCTGCGTTCAGGCGACAGCAGTTAGAATCAAGATTAAAGGGAGAATAAAAAGATCATTAAAACCTAAAGTGACGCCGGAGCTGCATGTGTTCGACTCTATAAATAAAAGAAACAAGAGGACGTAGTACAGTAGAAAGTACTGGTGGGAAAGAGGGGGTGTAACCAGTCAGCTTTTGGTGGGGGGGGGTGGGGGGGGGCGTCAAGTCAGTCGTCAGTCCGTCTCCTGGAGGCCGCAGCGCCTCCTGAACTCCTGCCCTCGCTCATGGATCCATTTATTTGACACTGTGGAGCCACAGAGAGGAGACAGCGTCAGACGTGCAAGTCTTATGTTGTTGCCTGGCGACAGGTTTCTACGTCACGTGTCAGAGACCTGATGAACTCACCCCACTTGTTTCCCACCAGAACGGGACAGGCAGCGTGTCTGGTCCGATAGTCTCCCTCTCCGCTGGGGTACAGGTTGTACCAGAACACCGCCGTCCCCTGGAGAAACAGAGTCACAGATTCATCCGCAGCTCAAACATGAAGTAACTGCACTTGTGAGGATTTGCCCTCCAGCTGTAAAACGGCTCTCATTAGGGCTGCGACTAATGACTATTTTCATTATTGATTAATCAGCCGATCCCAAAAATATTCAGTTTCCTGTCACATACGTCACTTCAGACTAGAACCTGCAACCTTTTGGCTCTTTTGCTTTTACAGTGAATTAAACATTTAGTCAATTAGCAAAAAAGTTACCAATTCATTTTCTTTTGATGTACCCATTAATTAATCGACTAATAATTGCAGCTCTAGTTCTTGCTATTTAATTTAATCTAATAATATCGTTGATTTTTCTTTTTTTGTTGGTCGGACCAAACAAAACATTTGAAGATGTCACCTTGGAAACTTATTTTTGATTGACTTTTTTCATAAGACATTATTAATTATTAATGTTATTTTGATTTATTTATCTTTCTATTTATTCACATATTTTAAGCTGTTTTTCTGGTCTGTCCTTTTATTCTATGATTACTTTCTGGATTGTTTTCCTTTTAATACCCTACTTTTATTTCTGGTTTTACTCACTTTAATATATCTCCTCTTTTTTAGTATTTTATTATTTTATCTTTATCACTCTTTCATTATCTTTGCTTTCCAGTCTTCGGTGTTTCCTCAGTTCCTGTTATTATTGTCTTATTTGTATTGTTTTTATCTATTACTTGGTCATTTATTGTGTGTGAGTGAAGGGGTGGAGTTGCTTTTTTTTTTTTTATTGGTTTTATTCTGTTAAGCACTTTGTGTTACATTGTTTGTATGAAAAGTGTTATACAAATAAAGTCTGATTGATTGATTGATGAAAGTAAAAAAGGCAATAAAATATATTTTTTAAAAAGAAGCTTATAAACAAAACTAGTTCTTATTTCTAATTCAACTCACTGTACCTTTTTGGGCCAAACAGCAGCTCTTACATCAGTGAAGACTGTGGCGCCCCCTGCCTGTACATCACTCATCTGCAGCAGGAAGGAGCAGAGTGTCAGTGTGTGTCTAAGCTGAGCAGTTTAGAGACATGTCAAACACAGTGAGGCTCACTGACGTAGAGCAGCCAGGTGGCGATTCTGTTTCCTGTCCCCAGCTCCTCAAAAGCGTCCGGTTCGTCTTTCTGCAAAACAGCAACACAACAGGAAACAAGAAACTTTACAGTGGGTCTCAAGCCGCGCAGGGCTTAAAGTAATAAAGAATCCTGAGCCTGAAATGTAGCAAGCATGTGCATAATGTTGCACACGTGCAAAAAAAAAATTTGCACATGTACAATATGTGCTTTGGACCAGTAAGTATGTGCAATGTAACAGACAACCGTAAACAGTACTGCGATACTATAGCAACGTTTAAGTGTTTCCTACCGAAAAACAGATAATGGGAAATAAATAAATAATGGAAAATAAATAAATATTGAAGATAAAAAAAAAATACAGTAACATTGACATCTTTAAAGAACTGGTAAACTGGAGTTAAAAGTGAAATCAAAAAGGCCACTATCACTTACTTCATTCTTTTTGGGTTGTAAATAAAGGAATTGTGAAGGACAGATCATGTTCAGCAATGAACGTGCACACATGTATTTTTTGATCATAGACATGGTCAGTCATTGATGACTGAGTGTCAACTGAAAGTGTCGCTCCCGGTAACGTAGTTGTATGTTGGAATGCACAGACAGCAATTCATGACGAGAGGGCACCTTTATATAAACATGTGGCCCATTAATGAGAGTGAGTGTGTGTTTGGTCATTATGTTAATTGACAACTCCCATTTTCTAAAGGTAAGATGTTTCATATTTACCCGTCCAAAGTCGAAATGAGGCTCGTACTGTCCTCCAACGCCATAGTTTGCCACCTACACACACACAAACACAAACACACGCACACACACACAGAAAGTTAAAAACATATATTAGACTCAATATGAATTGATTTTTGACTTGAGCATGTTGAGCTCTTAAGGCCACCATAGGTTTTTTTATTTTTTTTATTCAAATGTTTACCCAGTACTCTGGATCCAACTTAAATCAATGTATGGCATCTTGAAAGCACATACAGAGTGAATTCATTCATTCATTCATTCATTCATTTAACCAAGTGAGTGTCACCTGCAGGTCCTCAGCAGTGGTGACGTCCAGCCCAGTGATGTCCTCGATCCTCTGGTTGATCGTGTCCACCACCGGATGTTCATACGCTCCGAGCCAGGCACTGAGAAGAGACAGGAGGAGAAAACTCACTGAGCGTCTGCACAATCAGAAACATCACAGGACATCAGTACACACTGAGTCAGAGGGGAGAGAGGTCAGACGTCAGAAGGGTGGCACAGAGGAAAAAACAGCCCAGATAGCAGAATGAAACTTCTGGCCCAATATATGGCTGAGTCCTCAGCCTGAGTCTGGGCAGACTCTGGCTTGAGTTCTGGTGGTTCCAGCTCAGCCAGAAGATTTTTTGTATGTGCACCAGAATTGGTCAAGATTTGGAAGTAGCATCTAACAATCATGCTATAAATGGCCCAGATGTAGGCCATGTAACCAGGTGTATACACATATACAAGAAAACGAGCATGTGGCCCAAGTATGGGCCAGATTAATTTTGCTATCTGGGAGAGGGAAGCAGGCAGAGGAGAAGATTTACAGTGAGGTTTATTTACAGTGAACACAACAGAAAGAACTGTCAGGACTTCACAAGAGCCAGGTGTGTTAAGTAAAATATCTAGTTAAAGCTCCATATTCTCCTCTTCTCCTGTGTTTTATTTGAAGTGTTGATCCATAAGAATATATATTTGTAGTTTTAAGAACCAAAAACCATCTCAATGTAGTTTTACATCTCCTCTCTCAGGCTTCTCTCTGGAGATCTAGAAACAGGTCAGTGAGCCAATCAGAAGAGAGGAGGCACTGAGCCTCTCTTTTGATTGGCTGACTGTTTTCTAAGTGATCCAATAAAAATATAGCATATTTCAGGTAAACACCAAATTCAGCAAGGTTGGATGGTGGGTCCAGGTGGGCGGAGCTTGGTGAGTGCTTTGTTGTGAAATGACAAAGTTCCAGAAGTCCTGATGGCTGTTTTTAAGGCTCAGTTTCTGAATACAGGCTGTGTGCATTTCTCTGTGGACTGAGCGCTTTGATACTTTCACAGTATTAATATAGAACCTAGACCTGATCTATAATCAAACAACACATGGGCAGAGACCTTTAGACTATATGGACCTTTACATATACATTTACATTTTACAGACAAAATTTGTGCTGCGTAACAATTTTCCTGGCAACACTTTACTTCATCCAAAGCAGGAGAAAGAGCTGAAGTTAAATGATTTGAAAACATCTTCATCGCTACTCCTCCATCACTGGTTAACATGAGGTCTAATCATGAAGCTGAGGGGCAGCAGCCCGGAGCCACATGTTCACCTCTGACATTATCAAAGGACAAGACATGAAGTTTAATGCTGGTTTCTGGTGGACAGCGGTGACTCATATTATATGGATGACATCATAAAGAGTCACACATATGACAAGAAAGTCCAGGTTAATCAGAAAACTGTAGAAACAGTAGAGAGAGATTATGTGTGTTAAAAACAGATGTATTTATGTTTATCAGCCCTTCTGTTTCGGTTTGAATGAGTCTACAGATTTCATTAGAGGACAGAGGCAGACTGATGCAGCATTGTAGTGCAGCAGGTAACTGTAATAATCTTTCAAATATGGATACAAGGCTCAAAATTGGTGTGTTTAAATTTCAAAAGGCCGCCATTTTCCAAGATGGCCACCACTTCTGGCATAGAAAACACATATTTTGCCAGAGTTTTACTATAGATTTGAATTTGCAATTGAATCCCATGTTTTTGATTATGAGGATGTCAAATTCACCATTTTTAATGTCAGTTAAATATTATTTTGAATAATTAAAATTATTTTCATGCTGACTTTTAATTTGTAATATGTAGGTAAACTGTTGATGTTTCATTTTTTACAGTGTACAAAATTTCACCTTCTCCAATGTTAAAATGATTTGCCACCTAGATCATTCATGTGGGAAAATTGTGGGTGAATTTATTGCATAAAATTACATTTCCTTCAGCCATGGTGGCCATCTTGAAGAGGATTTGTGCCAAGTTTAATACATGTATCCACATGTGAAAGATGAAGTTGCCTGCTCCGCTACTAAGAGGAGGTGCTAAAGGACTGATCCAGACTGATCCAGATCTGAGTGTTTCTGGGGTTTGACGCACACACAGCTGCAGCAGCAGTGTCACTGCAGCCATCCAGCTCTTACCTCTTGGAGACTCTGTAATGGGCCGTGGTCAGTTTGCCTGTTTGAGGGTCATGCACCGTGGCACGTCTGAGCTAGCTCACCAATCATATTATATTACACAGAGAGAGAGAGACAGAGGGGACAGAGAGGAGAGAGAGGAGAGAGAGGAGAGAGAGGAGAGAGAGGCGGGTCACTCGCTGACACAAAGCTGCTGCCGTCAAGGAAGCAACAGAAGTTAGACTGTACATTTATTTTTAAATTTCTAAAATCATGTTTTCACTTTGTCATTTTGATATATTGAGTGAAGATTAATGGGCAAAAATTTAAAAGGTCTGAATACTTCCTGAAGCGACTGTATGACTACACTGTCTGTGAGACCAAGAGCAGGGCTCTTATTCTGAAAGAAAATCTCTTAAAAAAAAGTATATTCTCAGTCTCTGATTTGTCCAGAGTCTTCTGCTGCCTCCTTGACAAAATAAAAGAGAGTCAGACATTGAAATCTTTGACTCTTTTTCCTCCCTCAAGTGGAAAAAAGAAGTGGTTTGATTCTTGGCAGGAGCAGATCGTGTTCACATCACAGTTAGTTCATCGAGTCTAGACCAAAGAGCCAAAGCATTTCAGAGTAAATGTATAAAAAAAGTAATTTACATTCTTAAAGGGCTGGGACTGCTTCAATCAATAATGATTGAAAGATGAAACGTTACACTGGTAAAAACAATGACATTACAGTGAGCAGACTCTCCTTTTCCTTTGTTTTTGTCTTGCACCTAACTGGGGCTGGACCTGCTCAACAGTAATCTTGTTTGCTTCATGTTTCTGCTCTTGCCAGGACACAGAGGGGGGAGGACAGGGAGGGGGGTTCAGAGACGGGAGAGAGCAGGAGGGGTGAGACGCAGACGCCCCCTCCTGCTCTGACATCTCTTACCTCTTACTGATGCGGTAATGGGCCGTCTCCAGCACACCGGTTATGGGGTTGGAGATGGTGGCTCGACGGAGCTGTGGAGCCAATCGGCTGACAGTTACAGGGAGACACACACCGACTCCCTGAAGCACTGACTAACACCGAATGACAGACTGTGTGTGTGTGTGTGTGTGTGTGGGGGAGGGGGGGGGTCTGTTTTAGGGCTGCACAATTAATTGAAATATTAATTGGAATATAATCAAAACCTCAATATGGCCAAGTATAACATCCAAATGAAAGGAGCTGCAATTTTTTGGTAAAGGTAAAATGTGTCACATTGTCGTACATTGGTAGCACCGTAAGTGTTGTGGTGCTACAGAGACGCCCCGGCCTACAAATCACATTCTCCAGATGTAAAAGAAAAATATTTTTTTGGTACAAGACCAACAAAAATCACATCGTCATCATTTTTATATTTTTTTCAGCGAAAAAGAGAACGCAAAAACGATCACTCCAACTGAAATCGCAATATAATTTTTTTTATCGTACAGCCCTAATCTTTTTCAGTAATGTCACAAAACAATGACCTGCGTTTACTGCTGGAATATTTATTAACTGACCGGGTGAAGGTCGAACTGACACAAACATCATATCTTTATAAATACTGCAGCAGTAAATGAGATTTAACGTGAATCCTGAAACACCTCACCATGTAGTCATGAGTTTACAGTCATGAAAGATATTTCACAGCAGAAGAAAACACATGCCAGTTTTCAGCAGACAAAAACTTTGGGTGTGAAGTCAGATAATGTCCAGTATGAGCTGACTATGTTGAAGTACTGATGATGAATTAGTGCTGAATTGACAGTGGCAAGAAAAAGTATGTGAACCCTCTGGAATCACTGGGTACAGACAGACACTTTAGGCTCTATCTCACACCTGGCACAAAGCACAACGCAAGTGTCTTTGCTAGTTTCAGACCAACGCAGTTGTCATTTTCTTGTCCGGTGCCCACGTTGTTTAAATAGCAAATACACTTGTGTCTTTCTGAGCACCCATTGGTGTGTTGGTCTTAAAATGAGGTGTGGTCAGGCGCATTGATATCTTGAGGCAGCGGAAAGTGATTGAACAACAAAAACCGGGTCTGAAGCCAGTTTCTTATTTTAAGGGCGCATTGTCAAGACAGTAATATGTGCCTACACAGGCGCAACGTGGCTGTTACGCAGAAGGAGAGTGTGCTTCAGACGCTTGGATCAGTCAAATGGAACATTAGAGTACAGCCTCAGAGGGTCTGACAATTCTTTGTGGCGTATTGTGTGTTGCACAGTGTTGCCATGTGTCATGGATGAGACTCTGCAGAGAAGCTTCTTTCTTACTACCTGGTGAATCCGCCAGTTTCCACTTCGTACCTAAATTTGCCAACAGGTTTTCCATAGTTCAAACAGACTGACCATATTCTAGCACAAATTTATAAATAAATGGAGATAATTTCAAAGGGTTCTTTTACTTTTTCTTGCCTGTCTGAAGACAACATGGAGGGAGCTTGTATCAACAGTGAATGAAAACAGGAGCCGCCTCCAGACTCTTCACTCCTCGCTCTGACTGCTGAGCTGCTGTCGGAACTTACCCTGGGTTTGGCGAGCTCTTTGACCTTCTCCAACTCTTTGTCCGACACAATGTTGTGGTAGCGGACGATGAGGGGGCGGTCCCACTCGTCCTCCTGCTTCACCGGACCGATCACGTACCTTGGGTGGCGGTTGTTGTCATAGTAACGGCAGAAGAGGCGACTCTGCCTGCGAGGAGTCTGACAGGAAGACGAGCAGAGTGATCATCATAACATCCGACAGACTGAAGAGTGTGTGTTTGTGTGTGTGTGTGTGTGTTTTCGCCCTCCTCACCATCCTGATGCCCTCGCCTCGACACAGCTTCTCGTACTTCTTCCTCTCGGGCAGGTAGTCGTCATGTTGACCCTTGGCCTCCCTCCTCTGCCTCCCGTCAGCCCCCTCCCCCTCCTCTCTCTCCTCCACCTTCTTCTGTTTGGCCAGCTGGTACTCAAAGTACTTCAGGTTCCCGTTGGCTCGCTGGTGTGTCGCGTCTAAACTCACAAAATCATATTAACAGTCAGTCAGACATTAAAGGACAGAAGTCAGTTCTCTCATCATCATGGGGTTACATGCAGCAAAGGACCATGGGTCGGATTCAGCCCAGTGACGCCGCAATAGGGGCCAAGTCTCAATGGTACGTGCTCTACCAGGTGAGCCACCGAGGCGCCCTTATATGAAGTTTTTAATCAAACTGTTCCAACTGACGGAGTGAATATGATCCCACAGTGATGCAGGCAGAACATTTGCTGGTTCCAGCTTCTCAAACATGAGGATTTGCTGCTTCTTTATCATCATATATAAAAAAAAATACATTTTTTATACTGTTGGTCAGGTTAAAATTGCAGATTAATCAATGACAAAAATAAATCAGCAGTTGCAGCCTTAGTCTGGAAAACAATGGATTATGGTCTGGTATAGCATAGGAACTACTGGGCCTTCCTTTACCAAAGGAAAGGAGAAATGCTGTCTCACAATTCCTTGCTACAGCAACATTTAAAGCACCGTTGTAGTTTCACCACAGCAGACCCACATTAGTTAGTTCATTATTTCTATTTATTTATTATTTTAATGGCTCAACTTTCTCTATTTGTATTTTCTTTCCTTCTTATTTCAACATTTCAATCCTGTGTGCTTTGTTTCTGTGGTTAAAGGAGGATTTATCGTCCACGTGTTATAAATTAAGTTAGTTAAAAAAAGCTTACTGTAAGTGCAGTCAGATACTTTTTCTAAGTCCTCATGAATCTCCTTCACATCTTTGACCTTATGCTTTCCATCGAGGTCAAGGAGAAGAGGTTAGAGAGATTATTTTGACTTTTCGACTGCAGCCTTCATCTGACAGCTTTAGTCTCTAATTACATTAAAGACTGAGATTTTTTTTTTTAAAACCCAGCTGTTGTAAACATTTTTGGTTTGGAACCTCTCTGCACAAACATTTTTGAAAATGATCTGAAAACTTCTACTGTTTCTGCTTGCAGTAGAAGTCTGAGCCTCTGCTGAGAGTATCTTCTGGACTATTCACCACCTGTTCATCTGATCACTGTTTGGATGGTTACTATAAACAGAGGTGTTGTCTCTCTGCTGGGTGTATCGGTACCAACCGAGCTCCAGCAGCCTCTTGGTGAACTCCAGCGCTCTCTCTAGCGCCCCCTGTTGGTAGACCGAGTAGCTCAGGTAGTCCAGGATGGTGACGGCGTCCACAGTGCTGGACGTCTCTCCTTGGTCCAGCTGCCTCAGGGCCTGAACCATCCACAGCTCTGTGTGGTAGTAGTCCGCCTCTGAGTACGCCACCTTTCCGAGGTCGTAGCAGTCGTCCACCGTCAGAGCGGTCTGGTGTGAGGTGGCTGAGGACGAGCCTGAGCAGGCAAGAGAGGGGGAGAACGACAACTTTTTATAAATTCTTATTTAGAAGAACAAGGTGAATTTAGTTCCTGGCTCCAGACAGTATTGGTGGTTGGTTGGTTGGTGCTGGTCGTGCTGACCTGGCAGCTCTCCGGTGGAGATGGTGTTGGTGTCCAGCTGGTAGGTGTCCTGCAACCGCATCAGAGCTTTAGCAGCTCCGGTCTGATCATCATCGTTGGGGAAGTGCTGCCTCTGGATGGTGAGGTTAGAGATGAACACTGAACACACACACGGACACACACACACACAACACAATATAATAAATAAATCACTTTTCTGACAGTTCAATAGGCAACATTTGTAAATATTGTAGTGTGTGTGTGTGTGTGTGTGTGTGTACCATCAGACATGTCGGTGAGCACCAGACTCTCCAGCTCCCCCCACTCAGTGTTGAGTCTCTTCATCAGTTTGAAGGCGTTCACCGGGTGTCCCAGGAAACCTTCAGGGTCCTGAGTGGCTGCAACTGAGAGGACGTCCAGTTTATCAGCCCATCTACACACACACACACACACACACACACACACACACACACACACACACACACACACACACACACACACACACAGTTAAAGTTTGTTAAAACTTTGAACCCCACTGAAGCAATTAGCATCAAAACTGCTCTGAGTCAAATCTGACCTCAGGTAATTCTACCTGCCCAGTCTGACCAGTGCAGATGAAACTGATGACACTGATTAATTCTGCCTCCTCTCAATTACAAACACTCAAGACAAATCAAACCAGTGACACACTAAAGAAAAACTAGAATCACCTCCTCATGGTTGTCTGCCTCCTCCACTCTGACTAGTTTCAGGTTACATCCCTGTTCATCCAGTCATAGAAAATATGAACCATTTGTATGAAATGTTGTCATAATTGCTGTGTGAAGTCTTGAGTAATGACTAAAAAGTGTTTTGTGAGGTCACACTGACCTTGACCTTTGACCACCAAAATCTAATCAGTTCATCCCTGAGTCCAAGTGAATGTTTGTGCCAAATTTGAAGAAGCTCTGTCAATGTGTTCCTGGCATATCATGTCCACGAGAATGAGACCCAACCCGAAAAAGTTATGGTTCCTGCTCTGACTGTCACCGGCACAGAAGGAATAAAAAACATTTCCTGTTGACAGTAACTTGTAAGTACAAGTCCCTGGCTCAGCCTGGTTCTGTCCAGCAGGATTTAAGTGATATTAAAGCTGTTTAAACACGATCAGACCCAAGTGAGAGGAACTTTACTGATTTCTCTTATGATGTTGTTTTTTCTCAGCACATACAAATGTAGACGAATCCAACCACAAAGATTTTCTTTATAGTACTTCCTGAGTCAGACCACAGTGATTTATCTTTCATATCTAGGAACCTTTTTGAGTCGAAGCCTCCTCCAGGGAAACGTTGTACTTTCTTCCTGGTTGCAACCAGTGTGTACAGTCTGGCACCAGACAAAAGACACATTAGTGAAAGTTTTCCTGAAACACTATCGCCTTGTATTGTCTGCAGTGTGTCTGACGTGTGGTCTGTGGTGGAGCTGTGGCTGCAGGTTAAAACAAGCTCTGTTAACTGCTGCGTTTGTTGGAGGTTTATCAGAGCTTCCGCATCAGACGCTGCGTCTGAACATATGCCCAACCCTTCATTTAAAGTTTTGTTTTTTCTTTTTTTTCTTCTTTGTTTACAGGCGTAGTCACTATTGTCTCCTCTCTGCATGTCTGCTGTCCTGTGTTTTTGCAGGTTGTCATTTTGTCTGTATGTCCACAGCTTTTCATCACACAGTGAATATCTGCTAGTTTTTCAAAGCACAGGTATCACCTGCACCTGAGCTTTTAAGATATTCAAAACATTTAACATGTTGAAAATCTGACTTCTGTCAAGCCCCAGGAAGGCGGGACCTCAGGCCACACCTGAACTGATAAGAGACCTGGATCAGGCCTTGCTCAGCCTCTTCCTCTGTTTGCTGTAGCACATTGAGTTGAATATGATATTAACTGAAGTTGTGTTTCCTGAAACTGACTGTGCTTCTGATGCATTATTCGAGTAAGTCCATGATTTTTGATATAGTTATTGCTGCTTCTTTGTTTAGATTAAATAAATTCTTGACATTTGTTATAATGATTGCAATTCCTTTGTTTGATAGTAAAGTGCCTTGATTAGAATTATTACCACTGTTTATTGATTATATTTCCATTTGTCAAGCCATTGAAATCACCTGTAGCAGTCAACTGCCTGTCTGAATGGAATAAACTGTTGAAAGGCTCTTCTCTGGTCCTCATACTTTGACTGGTGTGCCAATGCAGAAGCTCTTTGGATAACCCAGCAATTACAAAGTAAAATTTCTTTCACTTACTCTAAATAATCTCACAGTTTTCCAAAGGGACTATTTCTGAATGTAGTACATTAAATATAATATATATGGAAAGATTTCACACACAATCCAGGCCTTGGAAAATTTTGCTGAAATACTTTCTCATCTAACTTTTCATGAATCCACCTGCTGAACGACAGAATGTCACCAGACAGGTGTCTCACCTTTTGATCTGCTCCAGCTTGTTCTCCTCTGCTCTGATGTAGTCCTTCAGAGAGGTGACCAGGTCCTTCTCTGTGAACAGCAGGTCAGTCATTTGGCCTGGGAACACACACACACACACACACACACACACACACACACACACACACACACACACACACACACACACACACACACACACACACAGATCAGTTTATAGCTACAGCATCAATCGTCTTCATTCAAGTGTCATTGAACTCAAAATGGTAATAAAGGGTCAGTTACAGTCTAGTCTAAATTACCAATAATATTTAATATTTTTCCATTTAGGTATGAATGATCATTTTAATCATCATTTAATTTGTACATTGTTTTGTTTGTTTTGTTCTACAAAGAGTGTAAAATACAAATATAATCAGTTTACAGTGATGAAAGACGAAAATATTAAGGCTGCAACTACTGATTATTTTCATCATTAATTAAATATTCTGAAAATAATTAAAAATGCCTGTTAGAGTCTCCCATAGTCTAAAGTGCCACCTTCAAAAGTCTTATTTCAGTTTAAAAGACATTCGTTTTACTATCACGTGTGACCATAAGAAATAAAACCTACACTTCTAAAACGCTGGAACCAACCAGTAAATATTCAGAATTTTTGTTTAAAAATTACTAAAATGATCGATTATAAAAATTCTTTATTAACAATTAATAATGGATTAATCATTTCAGCTCTACTACCATCTTTCACCATGGAGGTGAATGGAAATTCTGTTGTTTTTTGTTTTTTTTTTACTTATAACTTCTAACTTTTACTCCACTACATTTAAAAGATAAATATTGTACTTTGGACTCCACTACATTTCTATGAAGTACTTTTACTTTGAAGCAGAGCTTTTAGTCAGTGAATTAATTTTATTTTATTTTGAAAAATGTGATAGACCATACACTGTGTTCATCACGGGAGAAAAACCAATCACAGTCAACTCCTCCGCTGTCAGTCATGTTGTGCTGCTGCATGTTTGACCAGCTCAGTTTGAACCTGTCAGTGTCCTAATGATGCTGCGTTAGATAAAGATGAGGCAGAAGATTCTTCACCAGAGACCAGGGTCTGATCTGAAGTCTGTGTTTGAAGGTTTACAAATAAAGAAAGATTCCTTTAGTTTGATGTGTTTGCTGTGTTTACCATGACCAAACTTCATCACTGACTAAAAAAATGAGTTGTCCAACTTGAGAAAACACAAATAAACCTTTAAACAGGCATCTTGTAGTAGTTGCTGTTCTTTTGTTGATTCAGTTGTATTTTTATGTCTATTTCTACAGTCTTTGTATCATATTCTACAAGCTGTTTATTCTCCAGGTTCTACAGTCAGTCAGTCAGTTAGTAGGTTGTGTAAATGCGGAACAATACAACAATATGTTGACATAAAAAATGTACTTTTGAATACTTAATACTGTTTAAAATCAAGTACTTCAGTACTTTAACTCAAGTAAAAATCTGACTGAACAACTTCCACTTGTGTTGAAAGAATATCTGACCAGTAATGGAGCTGTGTACTCTGTCGACCTCTGGATAAGACTGAGGAAAATGGGTAATTTAATAAGCAGACAAGTGGAAGTATCAGTTAACAGGAGGAAGAAGAAAAACTGGTTTTACTCACCGATGGAGGTGAAGAAGTCATTGTGAGCCGAGGATGAAGTGACCAAGACGCAGTGGATCAACAACCACCAGCAGACAGCCATTCAGCCTACAAAGAGAAACACATGAATACAGACAGCAATACCATGAGGGAGTATTAGAGCTCAAACAGTTGTATTTGATCATGGATTGATCATCACAGTTAATTAAGAAAAATAAAAATAATGCTCTGGGTTCAGCTTCTTCAGTGTGAGGAGTTTCTGTTTATTACTGAATATCTTTTGGACTGAACATATTGTAATTAATCAAAAAAAAGATTTGTAACAAAAATAATTATTAGTTGCAGCTGTATCAAAGATTAAAATAAAGATCTAAGAAAATCCCATATTATTACAAAGTAGTTAAAAAGATATAAAAGTTATATTTACATGGTAAGTTATATGATAATTTCGACTTACTATCTCAAAATATTTTTGTTTTAAGTTTAGTCTTTTTGTCTGTCATTCCTTAATTCCACCACTTGTTTTTTTCTCTTTTCTTTACACAAATGAGCTTCCTCAAATGTGTTTTTTTTTTTACTTACATTAAAACTTCCCATACCCCTGCAAACACAACACAAAATCCCTAAATAAGTACTTATTTTTCCTGTTATTAGTATATTTGGACAAAAAGTGTTTTTTTTATTTATGAGAGAATTCGATCGAAACTAAGTTTTATTTTTCTCATCTTTCAGGTCTGTTTGCAACTTTGAATGAAGCTGAAAACACAGAATGTGAAGACAAGACTGAGCAGCAGTAACACTTGTCCCAACATAACCCACTGACCTGTCCAGGAATGTCTGAACTGGGGTGGGGTGGGGGTGGGGGGGTCAAATATTAACTGGGAGGACAAAAAAAAGACATATGTGAAGGTCTAAATGAAAAGGTGAGGGCTGATTTAATGTTACTACCGGCCGTGACGTAAAGTGGTCGCAGGAGCCGAGAGAAATTTCTAGATAAACCGACCTCTACGACCCACAAAGACAGTTAGGTAAATATCATCCAACGTTGACCAAAACCGTCACAAACAACAGACGACAGAGGTTATTTTTACCGTGTTAATTCCCAGGGAGAGCCGTGAAAACAGGAAATATCACGTCCGTGTCAAACACAGTCTAAGACAGCTCAAATCCCTTCTTCTGTTGCTCCCGAGTCCAGCAACGACAAATCCACAACAAACTGTTTCTTTTCTTCTTCTTCTTCGTCAGCTTCTTCCAAAATGGCGGCAAAGAGTGCGTTACCGCCACTTGCTGGACTGGAATGCGGATCAGATAAGAAGTTGGGAGTTCATTAACATTGGACTAGTTCAAGAAAGGGAGTGGATATTTAGTTTTTTTAAGGACGACAGGAGTGGAAAAACTCATTTCGAATGGATATAAAGAGAGAGTAAACTGTAGGTGGCAGTAATGCGACACTTTGGATGCCAACTGCCGTAAAACACCGTAGAAGAAGAAGAGGAAGTACCTTCGCTTTGAACTCGTTAACTGTTTGTCATAATCCAGCTAAATACAAGAATTTAACCAACCCCAACCTCAAAAACCAAGATGGCTGCCATCCACATCAACAGAAGTGAAAGCTGTTTATTAGCTCCTCATTCTTATTTGTGTCTCACTAAATCAGTTGTACACACAGTATTGTTCAACTTCTACCCGTATCTTAATGAAGAAGTTATGATTGTTTCCTCCATTGTTTTAATAAGATGAAATGGAAAATGTTTTGACAAATAAAACATTTGGGGGGAAAAAACAATTCCGCACCCTGCACTCTGCTCCCAGTATATTGAGGGGAAAAGGAGCCTCATCAGAGCCTGTAATATCAATATAATTGTATTAATACTTTATTTAATTTCCCCTCATTAAGACCTCATGGTATGAATTAAGTTATGGTGTTGATTTTTGGTCAATGTTAAGAGGTATTTACCCATTAAAAACTATTTAAACCATGCATTTGATCAATTAAAAATATGTCAATAACATTTACAATCCATTAGTCAGTCCCTTGAAATAAATTAGTTTCATAGTGTCTATAGCTGGTGTAAAAATTTGACATCTATCAGACCACGACTGTAAGCATAAACCACAGATAGTCACGGTGGGTAGGTTTATTGTAAAGGTGCATCTTATTAAACATTGATCAACAGTGCAAAACAGAGCTTTCTGTTCAGTGACCTCCTCCGTCAGTGACACAATCTTTGGTGCAGGTGTCACTCAGGTAAAGTATAACGCCAGTTTACACAGAAAACAGATAAAAACCCTACAGGTTCTACATCGTCTTATCAAGCAGTCATATTTACAATACGTACAAATATTGTACACATATCGCAGCTGTTGGTGTGTCTGAAAAGCCGAGGTTCATCTGATAGTTTGGTTAAAACAGGCCATAAAGAAGAGTACGGTGTAAAGTTTGATCTCAGACACAAAGATTAAAGTGTGTTCATCGATTTCATTGTGCAAAAATACATAGTGCTTGTATGTGTTTGTTTGTTTGTGTGTGTGTGTGTGTTATTATTATTATTGTCCATGTGTCTGTTTTATAGAAAAATCCTGAGGAAGAAGCTGCACAACTGTTATACATGTATAATAAGATCAATCTGTGAGGATCAGTGACGTCCTGCAGGTATTTAGTGATCCAGTGCTGTAATTTTAATTTCATGATTAGCTATATCCCCCCGAAATACCTTCAAAAACATCAAGACAGGTAGTTTCAAAAGTCCAACTGCAGCTCCTACGTGTTTCTTTGTCTCCTAAGTACGATAGAGTATTAAGGTCACTGTTAGGAACAAAAATTGAGATAAAGTTGAAATAGTTAAAAAGTCAAAATGTAATGTGAAAAAAAGTCAAAATGATAGGAAAAAAAAAAACAAATTAACCAATTGATTTTGTGAGCAAAATGTCGACTTTTTCAGAGAATTACTGTAATATTTTGTTGAAAAAGTCACAATGTTTTATAAGTAATGTTGCAACACTGAGAAAAAGTAATTTGGTTTTGAGAATTAGACGAAAAAAAGCTCAATTATTTCATGAAATAAAATGTGTATTTATGAGAAAAGTCTAATATTTTGAGGTTAAGTTGTGATTCTGCAAGAGAATTGTCCACTTTTGAATAAAATTGTTTACAAAAAGTTGTAATATTTTAAGAATAAAGTAATAACTTTTTTAGAATAACATTGTAAAATTTCAAGAATAAAGTCGCAATTCTATGAGACAATAGTTAATTATTTCAGGAAAAAAAACTTTAACATCTGAAGAATTAAGTTTTAAAATTAGAAGAAAAAGTTGTAAAATTTCAAGAAAAAGTTGCAAGATTTCAAGATAAAGTTGTAATTTTAAGAGAAAATGTTACTTAGAAAAGTTATAGGTTTACTAAAAACTACAACTATTATTAATAAAGTAATTTTAGGATTTTTTTTAAATATTTTGAATATGAGAGAAATACAAATTAAATTTATGATTTACAGATTTGACTTACAATCTCGTAATGTAATTATCTTAATTTGTGATAATAGAATATCGTTATGTTTGAATTGGGATTGCAACTTTTTTCTAGACAATTTTTTTGATATAATTTATATTTTGAAATTCTGTCTTTTTTTTGTCTCAACATTTTGCATTTTTCTCAGAATCTCCAATTTCTTTTCCAACAGTGGTTTTAATATGTTAGATTAAAAATGGTGGCTGCAGAAAGACAGAGCCTTCGTTCTTTAATTTTGACACCAACACACATTTACTGTTGATGTGGGTATAATGTCACGTCTTCTATGAATCCACGTGAGGAAATAACACATCGAACAACAAAACAGACCCAGAAATGCAACATACACCAGCAAACAGCTGTTCTTTGAAACAGCTTTCAGGTGGATTTCTTGGTCCGTATGAAAGTTCATCAACAGTTTTCGTTTTCCACAGTTTCTTCACGCACAAACCTCAGATCTTGTGCCAAGATGTGATTACTGCTGCTATACAGCCCGGAAATAATAAATTCGCCTCTGGATTGAGCTATCATTAGAATAACGGCTTTTAGTGGAGACTGGGGACGGTTGCAACAAGTCTTATTCCTCCAATCAGAAACATGCTAGAGTGATGACACTCATACTGCACATGTTCACTTAGACCCTTCTCCCACTGAAGGTAATTTTTTTAATGAGGTGTATTTTTGTCAAACTGTCCCGAGCTTTTAAATGAGTATTTTATTTTGCTGACTACTAAATTACAGGGTTAGCATGTCTGTCATGGCTGACAGGGAGGAGACCATTGCAACAAGTTGTTGCAACTGTCCCCAGGCTAAGCAGCCAAAACAAGACACACCATAGTCAAAACAGTCAAAATATGCAGCTAACTTTGTCCCATAGCAACAGATGCAACAATGATTGCGCGTTTTAATGCATAAGAGAATACAAACAAGTTATTTTGGGAATTATTTTGTAGCCTCTCATGACCTTATAATATATTTGCCTGTTCTGTTCATCATGTTCTGTTCAATATTCTGCGCAAAACAAAACTCAATAACTGTTCTTTGATGAAAATGATTAAATAAATAAATAATAGTATAATAGCATCGTCAAACAAGGCATATTTTCAGAATACTATGCTATGCTCATTGAGTGAAAAAGCAAACGGTTAATAATTTAATTTATAATTTAATGTATTTTTGATATGTTGCAGCTGTCCTTAGGGTTGGGGTTGATTACAACATCTGAATTCTTCCATTCAATACGAATGAATGATAGTCATATGTAATCATCTTTAAATGGTATGGGTGATTAGCAGACAGATGCTTCATAATAGTTTAATATATAAAAGTTTGGTTGGTCTGAGTTACTGAGAGAAATGCAAAAACTGTTGCAACCATCCTCAGCTCGGTTTTCTACAGGTCCATTTCAGATCAGGTTCAGGTTTTAGGACCAGTGAAGACCCCAAAACTCAAGTACCATGTTTGAGTTTCTCTCTGTGAGAAAACGCACTTCCCTAATGAACAGTGGCAGAACTTCAGCTCTGTGTTCCTGTAAGTGAAGTCAAACTGCTGACGGCTTTTATTTTGATTTTCACTTCTTCCTTTTCTGCAGGAACAAGTATCTGGGAGCAGCAGGGGGTCAAACCTGGTCACCATCTTCTAAAATGGGTCACACACGGTGCGTTCACTGACACAATCTCCAGTCAGCGTGTCTAGCTGTTAGGATATTTTGCAGCTGTTTCTGCAGCTTTGTGCAGACGGGCTGAGCGGCGGTGGTCGGATCAGTTTGGTTTTTTTCAGCAGCGTCCCTCCGGTCCTCTTGGTGGCGCCGTGGTGGGCGGCGTTGGCAGTGACGGAGTAGGAGCGTCCGTGCATCATACGGGCGTTGAGTCCGTTGGCCATGGAGAAGGACTTGAGGTGGGACTTGAGAGCCAGTGGGAGGGGGAGTTTATCGACCAGGTGGACCGGGGTGCAGGAGACGATGGAGCGACAGCAGAGGTCCTGAAGACTCAAGACTGAGAGAGAGAGAGAGAGAGAGAGAGAGAAAGAGAGAGAGATAGTTATCTCAGTTATAATTCAGACTCCTCTAAGGACAGCACAGACCACATCAGTTCAGCTCTCAGATCTTTACACTGGTTTCTTGTTTGTGAAGAACTGAACTGGTTTATCTCAGATCTGCTGCTGTGGTCTGAACTATCCAGCCCTCTCAGAGGGTCTGGGCCAGGTCTGCTGACTGTCCTCAGAGTCCAGAGTCCTCAGAGGGTCTGGGCCAGGTCTGCTGACTGTCCTCAGAGTCCAGAGTCCTCAGAGGGTCTGGGGCAGGTCTGCTCACTGTCCTCAGAGTCCAGAGTCCTCAGAGGGTCTGGGCCAGGTCTGCTTACTGTCCTCAGAGTCCAGACCTCTCAGACTTTGTTAAAACAGAGTTAAACATCTTGAGGCTAAAGGTATGGAGGGTTTAAAACACCTCAATGAAAACAATAAAACAAAGAAAGTTAAATACATATTGTTATATATAAAAGGACAATTATTTAATTATTTATTTATTTGTCTTTAGATACTAGATGAATAGTTCTTCATTGTTTCAATGCCACACTAAAATCTAATCACAGAAAACAAAGTGAAGAGGTGTATTTTCAGTGTTGTCCAGCAGAGAGCACCTGCCACCTCCTGTCACACATCCTGTCACCTCCTCATTAAAACTGAAGTATTGGCAGCTCTTTTCTGGCCTCACGTAAAACTTGTATCCACTTGCAATAACTGTTTTTTTTTTTTCACTTGTTTTCAGCAGAAACAAATAATGAACACAACACTGACACATAAGTGTAACCTGTTATCAAACATTTGTTTATCTCCACCTCCATCATCACAGATCAACATGATGATTCATGTGTTTTTGTGCCCGTGTCACCTGCTGAATCTCAGTTCAGTGTTGTGCTTGTCTGCGGTCCGGACAGCAGTGTTGCCAGATTTGATGGACAAAATGTAGTCCAGAAGGAGAAAGACCATATTCGCAAATCATTTTTTAATTCTGTTATCTCGATAGCAAAGCTCGTAATCCCAATATAACAACATATTGTCCCGTTATCTAAAGATAACAAAGCTCGTAATCCAAAGATAACAAAATATCATACCGTTATCTTCTGATAACAGAGCTTGTTTTCTAATAATAATTACTTTGTTGATCAGAGATAAGATGCAAATGGAAACTTCTAGTGCTGCAAAGTGAAAATGTCAGGACGACGCATCAGAGAATATTAAAACCAAGACCAGATATCACACTGTGTCTTTGCATACAACATCATCAGTGGATGGATGCTCAGACAACTATCACTGGATCACTGTGATACTGAAGAAAATTAAAAACAGGAGGATTCTCAGGCAAGTTATTAAGTTATAAGGATCTTCTTTTTTTCTGTGATTTCTAAGCAGTTTATGGAGGTTTATTCTGGATGGACTATAATATATAATGAAATATATACAATAATATATATACAATATAAAAGTCACACTGAATCTAAAGTATATTTAAAAAGTATATATCTAATATCTGTGTGTTCAGATTTTACTCAGTAATGACTTTGATTTTTGACACCAATTGCAGCGATCGGGCACTAAGAGTTTTAAAGTATTAGTAAGTATTGATGTCTTACTGATTTTATGCTTTTTGTGTATTTCTATGTATGTATGCTAATTATTGTATTTATTTATTATTTTATTATTATTCCATCTCATTTTACATCAATGTTTTCAATGTTTTATGTAATTTTTATGTCTTAGATGCATGTATTTTCTTTGTTGTAAAGCACTTTGTGCTACATTTCTTGTATGAAAGGTACTATACAAATAAAAACTACAAATAAAGTTTATCATTATTATTATTATTAGTAGTAGTATTATCACTACTACAGTAACAGCAGTTCAGTAGTGGTGACATAGCTGAGAGAATTGTCCAAGGTCGTGGGTGTGTTTTCAAGTTAAAACAGTGTGTTAAGTTGGTCCTTAAGTAACAACAAACCTCCCACTATAACCCACACACAGTAACACGTATGTACGCACCGTAACACGTATGTACACACAGTAACACGTATGTACACACAGTAACACGTATGTACACACAGTAACACGTATGTACACACAGTAACACGTATGCAGAGACAGCAGCTGACCTTTGTTGGGCCTCCACAGTCGCTCCATGCCGTGTCTCATCAGGACGATTCGGGCGAGCTCGGTGAACGACTCTGTGATGTTGAAGTTACACAGCGGACTGACCTCGAAGAAGGTGACGCCCAGCTTCTCCGCGTACACCTGCGCCTGCTCCGTGGTCACCTGACGCTTGTAGGCCAGGTGGAGACGGTTCCCCACCAGGATCTTGGGCACCCCCGGGGCATGCTGGGTAAACAGGAAACAGGAAAAGTCGCTAATGTGTGTTTTTCTCCTGACTGATTCAGAAAGGTGACCTCTGACCTCACTGACCTCATCTATCTCTTTGATCCACCTGTCAATTCCATCAAAGGACCAGCGGTTGGCGATGTCGTACACCAGAATAACTCCCTGAGGAGCAGAGGAGGAGGAGGAGGAGGGAGAGCAGACAAAAAAGGAGAAGAAATTACAGTTTACTATAATTTTTGAACAATGAAGTCACTTTGAAACAAAACAATGTCATCAGTCAAGTTTCCATCCAAATATATATATAAAGAAACAATGCCACGACAAAGAGATGCAAAAAGCTACAAAGAAGCTAAAAACTACAACAGAGACAAAAAACACATCACAAAGAGACACAAAATCACCACAAAGAGACACATTACCACCATAAAGAGACACATTACCACCACTAGGAGACTAAAACCTCCACAAATGGAGACAAGTTACAAAAAGATGCAAAACAACTACAATGAGACTCAAAATAACCTAAAAAAAAAGGAAAAATGACAACAAAGAGACACAGAATGACCAAGATCTTTGTAAATGAAATTTAAGACCATTTTTATGAGGGAACTAAATCCAGTGCTTTTTAACACCCGCAGGTATCCTGACACAATAAAGATTCGTGATCAGGTTTTAGCCTCGCTGTGGTGATGGTGTCACTGTTGCCATGGTGATACTTCCTCTGTGCCCACTAATAGCCTGATGAGTGATGACAGCAACACAACTTCATTCAATGAAAAGTGTCTTTTTTTCTCCTGCGGGAACATCACAAAGCAGTGTGTGGCTGTTTGATGTGTGGGATGAGTTTCCTCATTGTCTGAGGTCACAACAATACACAGAGCGAGTGTCAGTTAAAAGCGTCACAGCTTATTTTCCAGTCAGCTCTGAGATCACAGAGAAGCCCCGACATGTTTAAAATAACTGGGCTAAAATGTTTCATTAAAGTCTGTGAGGAACAAACTACCTGCGAAAATTCAGCCAAATCTACAGCTTAGCATTAGTGTGCCTAAACAGCTGACTATTCAACATCAGCCAGCAGGACACAGAACAAACGGTGCATCAGCTATGGACTACCCAACATTCAGTAGCAGAAAATAAAGGTCACATAACATTAATGGGATTAAAGCTACTGGTTATCCACAGGTCAGCTAAATGGACATATTGGTGAAAGGGAATAAAACTAGCATAACACCTAAGATAAGCTACTGCCAATCTTGCACCAGCTAAAAGAGACCATTTCGCTAATATACCATAATGGGGCTTATCTACAGTCAACATCAGCTACAGGGTACAAAGATAACCCAACATCAGCTGGAACCTGTAGCCACAGGGCATTAGGCTAACTCAGCGTTAGGTAGGTTAAACTTTAGCTACAGGGTATTCAGCTAACTCAATATTAGCTGGGTTAAACTTAAGATGCAGAGCAAAAAAATTACTCAATATCAGCAGAGCTATACTTCATTCACAGGGTACAAAGCTAACTGTTAGCCAGGATAAGCTACTGGAAATGCAATATCAGCTAACAAAACACACAGCTAACATAATTAGCTGCGTTAAGCTACTAGCAATGCAACATTAGCTACAGATAATGAATCCAATTCACCACCAGACGGGCTACAGCAGTCCAATGTTGGCTACAGTAACTGAATACTTAAAAAAGCAAAACGAAGCAGAAATGTTTACAAAACAAACAAAAATTTTCAAGCAGTTTCTCTGAATTAATATTTAACAATGATTGATCTTCATAATAAGAAAGTGGTACATCTTTAATTTGCAGCAGTTCACTCACACTTGACTTTCTTGACTGTCACATTTAGGAGATTTATTAGCATGTGTTTTGCTTGTTATAGATGTAAATGTAATGGTTAAACATTAGATCTGACAGCTGTACCAGTGATGATTACCTGTGCTCCTCTGGAATAGGATCTGAATATGGTGCAGAATCGTCCCTGACCAGACGTGTCCCTGAAAAAGAGAAAAGAAAGGGGGCAGAAATTGTTATATAAACGTCGAACCTCAAGCTACTTCACAAATTTATTTGTACTTCTGTTCTGAATTTGCACATCATGCTTTTGTCAAACAGAAACAACATGGGTCGACATTAGGCTGAGGACATCAATCTAGAGATCTTTATTCTTTTGTAATGCAGAAGTTTTGTGTCGATCAGCCAATCAGACATAAAGTTTAGGACTTGGTCTTGACTTGACTTGAGACTTGTTGGTCTTGATTTGGGACTTGCTGGTCTTGATTTGGACTTGAGACTTGTTGGTCTTTACTTGGACTTGAGACTTGTTGGTCTTGAGTTAAACTTGAGACTTGTTGTTCTAGACTTGGTCTTGAGTTAAACTTGAGACTTGTTGTTCTAGACTTGGTCTTGAGTTAAACTTGAGACTTGTTGTTCTAGACTTGGTCTTGAGTTAAACTTGAGACTTGTTGTTCTAGACTTGGACTTGACCTGAGACTTGTTGGTCTTGACTTAAGACTAGTTGGTCTTGACATGGGACTTGACTCTGGACTTGATGGTCTAGACTTGGACTTGATTTAGGACAAAAACTCCTCTATACTGTGATACTTTCCAGCCCTTTCAGAAAACATGGGCCTGTTCTGTGGTTTCATCCAGAGTGAAAAACAAGAGTATGTTTCTCCAGAGCTGAATACCAGAGCAGTGTTTTGGTTGGCTCGTGAGGATGCTGGCTGGCTGTCGGCCTGCTGGTCCTGACTGGGCCAGATAGAAGGCAGCTGCCGGATTACAAGTCAGGTGGTCCAACAAAACAAAATAGATTCATCAGGAACTGATATTGAGAGACTCCATCTGTTGTTATCCACAGGACTGGACTCTCAACAGTGGTGGGTGGAGTCAAAAAACTGACCTAAAAAACTGAAAAAGTAGTGTTAACTTTAAAAAAACAAACACTTGAGACATGTCTTTGTTTGAACTTTTCTCATGTGCATAATTTACTTTACTCTCATCAGGCTACATGAATGACCACGACTATCAAAATGGTTAATATAGTCTTAAAGACGCACACCGTTACCTCAGATATTATTTATATCAGGACATGATAACAATCAGAGATCGACCCTACAGCTGCCATATTGTAAATTCTCTTAAAGTGCTCAGTGCTGCTACAGGAAGATATAGAATTATCATTTTTGTGTAAAATCTATAAGTTTTTAGTGTCTAAAACATGCAAACTTGTAAGTGCACACTTGTTCTCAACCAAATCTGACTGAGAATGAAAAGACAATGACTATACTTGATGATTTATATCTAAATTTCAGCCATAACGTTAAAAAAAGCATTCTTTTGCTGGATTTAAAAAAAATATTTACAGTGGATCCTCTATTTATTTATTTTTTTAATTTAAAACATAAATACACTGAATTAAACTTATTAGCATTAACATAAGAGACACACTTGTTTAATAAAAGCTAAATGTGTATTTTATCATAATTAGCAAATTAATTCTTGAGTTATGGCTTAAAAAGTGTTTTGTGAGGTCACCGACCTTGACCTTTGACCTTGGATAACCAAAATCTAATCAGGTCATCTTTGAGTCCAAGGGAACGTTTGAAGAAATTCTCTCCAGGTGTTCCTGAGGTTTCATGTTCACGATGAACAACCTGAAAACACAAAGCCTCTGGACGCGGGTCTCGTCAACACAGGGAAATAATAATGTTTCCAAATGTAAGAGTTACAGTTACGTCACATGTAAAGGAGTAAATATAAGTCGTTAGTAAAATATCTGATACGCAATGTGAGTTTAATTTACAAGAAGAGAGAAATCATCAAACAAACATGAGCCGTATGTTTCATGAAGCTGCAGCGTCACATCGGCTCTGATGGGGATTTACTGTGTGTGTAGCCAGAGGAGAGGCAAAGGGCGTTATTAACACACACACACACACACACACACACACACACACACACACACACACACACACACACACACACACGTACTCAGAGACACACAACAGAGCTAAAGCATCTCATCCGCTTAAACATCAAACAAAGTTTCAGATTAATAATTTAATATTGACTCGACTAAAAGCAAAACCGCTCTAAAAATACCTCTGAGAGGCCCGGGAGTTCAGAGCCACCGTGTATGTGTGTGTGTGTGTGCGTGAGCAGTGCTATAAGTGCATTATACCCCCCCCCCCCCCCCCCCCCCCCCCCCCCCCCCCCCCCCCCCCCCCCCCCCCCCCCCCCCCCCCCCCCCCCCCCCCCCCCCCCCCCCCCCCCCCCCCCCCCCCCCCCAGCTTTCTTTCAGAGTGTGGAGGTTTAAAAACATCTACACATGATGTAAGTCGTGTCTTCATGCAGCCCAGTGTTCTCCAACCTTTTCTAAACACACATCACTTCTCACGTTCAAATATGAGCTTATATGTTGGGTCATACAACAATATCATTTATCGACATTCAGTGGAATTGTTTCATGATTAAATTCTGTCATCAAATGAAGTAATCCACACAAACTAACAATTTAAAAACCAGTAATATTGTGATATTGATTTCAACCATATTCCTTCTTCTAATATTCCTCCTGCCACTGACACATGAAAAAAACAAATCACAGAAATGTGTCCAGATGTTGTGCTCAAACAAATATCGTAGCATTTCCTGTTGCTGCTTCACAATAAAAGCAACACCTTGAAGGCAACTTCTTCAAATTTGGTGCAAATATTAAGAAGGACTGAAGGACGACCTGATTAGATTTTGGTGGTCAAAGGTCAAAAATAAAAGTCCGTGTTACCTCATAAAACATTTTTTTGCCTCTTGTAGTCTGGATGGACCTTTGGAAACGATGACGTAGACACCCACAGTCTCTCCTGACTTATCCTGAAGTGTTACTGACCTTGTTGTCTTTGCTAGCAGCTGTTGTTGACTTACATTCTCTATTTTAATGCTACAACTGTCTTTGCTGTTCCTCGTTCTGTAACTAACCACCTGCAGAGTAGACAATCTACTTCCTGTTCACACCGGCTCGTGCATGCCCAGTGTACGTGAATGGTTCTGTATGTGTGCGGTTTCAGGCGTGTCAGTCTGGATGGAGATCGTTTTCATTTGAAAACACCATTTTGAAATGAAAATGTAGTAGGGGTGATGTAGCCTCAGGTAAAGGTGGGACAATGGACCTGCAGACGCTGCTCAGGGCTCGTCTCCTCTGGTTGTCGACCATTTTTAATCACAAACTAAATTCCCATCACAGCCTCTGAGCTGAGCTGAAGGCACAAATCTCAGAAACACACATGATATATAAAACTAAAATGATCTGGCTTTTGTTTTTCATGATTGGAGTGAACTGACCCTTTAAAGAAAACTAACTCTGGTTATTTCCAGAGAGGAAGAAGTGGCTGCTGCAGCTCGTCTTCCACCTGAAAAAGCTCTTTATCAAGTCAAAGCAGCTTCACATGCTTCCTGTTTATTTTTGGTCCAAATTCTCTGCTGCCGATCACATGACCTGCGAAAAACAGAAGGAGGGAAATGGGCGACCGCTAGGATCCACTCAGGAGCTGAACAACAGGAGTTTTATCCAGAGAGCGTGTGTGTGTGTGTGTGTGTGTGTGTGTGTGTGTGTGTATGTGTGTGTGTGTGGTGTTCAAACCACTCACCACAGCTGCAGCTTGACTCTCCTCCCATCCAGGAGGATGGTGGTCGTCTTGTAATCAATTCCTGAAACAACACACAACACAACAGGACAAATTAGAAACTTACGAGACAAGAAATGCTGCAAAGAAACAAAACTAGAATAACCTCCTCGTGGTTGTCTGTCTCCTCCACTCAGACTACTCTCAGGTTGCGTCCCTGTTTATCCAGTCATAGAAAATATGAACCATTTGTGTGACATTTTGTCATAACTGCTGTGTGAAGTCTTGAGTAATGAGTGTTTTCTGAGGTCACACTGACCTTGACCTTAGTCTGTAGTTGTGAGAACTTAAAGCTTTCCCTAGCCCCTCACCCTGTCCCTAACCTTAACCATCAGTCCTATAAGCCGAACCCTGATTCTGATTCTGATTCTGATCCTGAACCTGAACCTGATCCTGATCCGGATTCTAACCTGAAGGTGTGAGGACCGGTCTCACAATGACCAAATGTCCTCACAACTATGGTTTAGAACAAAGATTTTTCCAAACAACTATAGAAAGACATACACATAGACATACACATACACGCACACAGTTCATCACTGATGCCCAGTTATTCAAAACATCCTCTTTGTGTCCATCCTGTTTCTGTGGGCGACAACTTTGATTCGCAGCGAACCAACCTCTGTGTCACTCACACACACACACACACACACACACACACACACACACACACACGATTAGCTGTTAATATCAGGCTGCTGTCACATGGGTCTCCGGCGGGAACAAAAGCAGCGAGCAGCTCGTCTCTTTTATAACAGTAATTATCAGGAGCTGTCTGCAAGTAACGACACTCTGCTGTGATGCTTCAACAATGGCTGCCAACCCTTCACACACACACACACACACACACACACACACACACACACACACACACACACACACACACACACACACACACACACACATATACAGATACAGATACATATGTTATGTAAATGCACTCTGCGGAAGAGCTCAGAGCCCATTAACATGAGTAACACAGGGAGAGATGCTGCTAAAGGCCCAGGAACAAACCACCACACTCATCCTTGTTTACCTTTAGTTACCATGGCAACTGAGAGTTTATCAGGAGTCTCTCTTCCTAGGTTTTATTCATATGATTTATAGTAGAGTGTCAGATGTCACCCATTAAATTTCACCTCCACAACACTAAACATGTGTTGTACAGTACAACAATTCTTTAATTGACTGTGTGATACAGTGAACTACACACACCCAGGTAACTCACAGCTGAGACAACTGACAAGCAGAGCAGTGACCTCTCTGTTTACCTGCCTCAACTCTTCTGCAGTTTTTTGGCCTGACTGTAACAGCAGGCCCAGTCCTATAATCTGGAATGTTGCTGACTGACTGACTGACTGACTGATAATATTTCCACCATTGGTCAGCTGAGTGCCGAGCCACAGTCTACTGAGCTGCTCTGGTTTCCCAGCTGCTCAGGAACTGCAGGGAAGAGGAAGAGCACTTCCAATACACTGAGCCTCGCCTCCATTACAGCAAATTAACTACTTTCATTCCATGTATCATTATTACTCAAGGAGGCAGAGGAATAACTAAACATAAGACACACTGAGCAGAGAGAGCAAGAGAGAGGGAGGGAGAGAGAGAAGTCATTGGTAATGAGGCTTGGTACTAACGACTATGACCAATGCTACATATCAAACAGAGGGAGTTAGGCATGAAGACCTGCCTCTAATAAAAGTCTGTTACGTTCTGGAGTTGAAGTTAATAAAGACTAAACTATTGTGGATCCATACGGAGACTGTGCTCTGTGTCAGAGACTCAATAAGAAAGAGAGTCTGTCTCAGGCCAGTAGTTCACCTGGTGGAACACTTGTCATTTGGGTTAAGTCTTTGCCCCAGCGACCTGAGTCCAGTCTGTGGCCCTTTGAAAAACAAAGATAGTCTGTTTCTTGTAATTTCTCTGTGAGTGATCATGTTACAGTAAATCTAGCTGAAACCACAGCTCAGTCTTTGTCTTTCATTATGTGTTTGGTGATTTTGTCAGATGACGTCACAGTTATAAAAGCAAGATTTGACCAGAGATGGTCCAGACATAGATTAGGTGTAGATCTAGTCTTGTTTTTTTTTTTTTTTTATGAAATTCAAACCAGAGTATGGTAAAATAAAAAAGGCCATAAACTGTTTTGCTCCACTCAGATGGAACTGATTTCTTTAGTTTTTAAAGTTTTAAATGAATCCACCTGTACCTGCTGTGATCAGATTTGTTTCAGCTTTCACCTTCATGCCAGATCTCAGCAGGGATCTATACTCACTGTGTTTCTGTCCTAAAATACAAACATATTGGATAGATATTCTGCAAGATATGAGATTGACATTTGGAGTGGTTTTAAATCTGAATCCTCTTTCTCTGCTTCACTCTTCAAAGAAACAGTTTATGAAGATATTGACTCAATATCTCAACTTTTCAAACACTATAGTGGACTTGACACTTTCAAGTATCATTCTTGACTTATAAACCACACTTGTTGTACCATGTCTTTAATACTGAATTGTAATGTCTCTTTGTCACCTGATTTTTTTTATTTATTTATTTATTTTTTAATATTTTGTGGCTTTTATTTTTACTTAGGAAAGGGAGGGGCAAAAGTGTTGTTTTAATATGTTTTCATTATTATTATTATCACTGGTTTTTCGTCACCATATATTTCTAACTGTCATTAGTATTAATGCTGATTGTGTCGACCAATGTTGTGCTGAGCTCTTTGTGGTTATTGTTTTGTTTTTTTTTGTTTTTGTTTTTTTAAAAGAACAAAACTCAATAAATATACTTTAAAGAAAGAAAATCCAATTGTCTTAATGTTTGTTATTGTTGGTGACATTTTAATTTTTAATTTTATTTAAGAGTCATGTGTTCACATCGCACCCTCTAACACTCTCACTGGACCATCCTATGTAAAAAAAAAAAAGTTGAATGAATGAATGAATGATATTAATGTCTATTTCATTTTCATTATCTTTGATGTTTTACCCCTGTGTTTTCTCTTGTAGATCGCTCTGTATTTTGTAAAATTTAATAAACAAATTGTTAAAAAAAAAAAAAGGAACAGCTGTCTGATTATAAACACAAGCGTTTAGCATGAATATACAATTAGCATGAAATGATCAAAATGTTGATTTAAATCAGGTCAGAGAACAGGAAAGCAAGACAAAGGACTCTGTCCAGTCTGTATTAAACTGAGCTACAGACTCAGTTGAGTCAGGTCTGACACTCAGATACAAACATCACATCTCAGAAATGTAGAAATAAGCTGAGAGGAGGAGACTTGAGACTTGAGGCGTATTAGAGCAAAGAGGAAGAAGATTTGCGAGAACAAGATGTGATATAATGTGGGAGTTATTCTGGGAGAACTGCAACACAGCCTACACACATATGTTCAAGTTATTACACACACACACTCTGGCAGCATGCATGATACACGAAGCACTCCATACATGAAGTGGTGTTACATAAGAGGCTGGAACAGTGAGGTTTGCTGACAGACATCAAAACAGTAAAAACCGTACAGATTGTAGCTGCCTGCTGGGCTGTGTGTTACAGTGTGTGTGTGTGTGACAGTGAGTGTGATAGTGGGGGTAGCTGCTTTTTACCAGGCAATCATGTTGCAATTCATTTCCACACAGTCCTAAAATGAACTGATGGACACTTGACACTTGTTTCAGTCCATCACACTGAACCATCATCATCGTAAAAAGTGCAAAATGTCCCCTGAAATATAGTCAACAAAAAGTTTCATAAAATGGAAATATTCAAATATGAGAACCTAAGAGCTGGAGTTGTACATATGATGTATGTAAGATAAAGTTATCTGAGTTATCTGAAAGAGAATCAACAGTCATTTGAGCTCAAATAAAAACCAAACTAAGAGTCCAGAGCCACGCTAGCAACATCACAAGGCTGTACTGAGACTCAGTGAAGCTAAATGCTAACTCCAGCTAACAAGCTGATGTTTAGCAGACAATATTCACCATGTTCGCTATCCACCCAAAAGTAACTGGACCACAGAGTGCCTGGCTAAAACCTGAGCTGTCTAACATCACGTTCAGCCCTTCAGTTTTACCTCAGATAACCTCCAGTTCATTTCTTTTTCATTATCCTAACACCAGGGGTTTTACCACCGTCACTCTGTCCTCGTCCACCTCCATCTGTCCGTCTTTCACCTCTCAACCATCTGCCACAGATACAGAGACTTTTCCTCACTTCATTTCTCTCCGACTGGCGTCCTGTTTTCATTTACTTGACTCTCGTCTTTAACGTTCTTTTCCACTCATACAAAATGTTGAGCCCAATCGTTTCAGTGATAGGATGGATTAGGTCACATGTTGGAGGCCCTAACTGACAAAGGGAGGTAACTTCTGGACTTTGAGAGTCAGTAGGTTAGCCCTGTCCTCAAATCACAGTGCATGATGACGGCAAACTAAATGGGTTTTTTTGTTTGTTTGTTTTTGTTTCTGGTGACTTCAAAATGACTCACAATGAATCTTGAGTAAAACATGATGTCTGAAAATTCTGTCCCTGTGTAACAGTTTAATCTATAGTGAGCAGTAAATTGCTAAAGAGTAACACTTTATTGTGTTTATTACAGACTGGAATCCCACCTATGTCTTAATGTACTTGTTAACCACTCTAAATGCTCCTGTGGACAACCATAAGTGGAGGCTGCTGCATGTAATGATGATAATAATAACAATATCGTAAAACACAGCTGTAATAATATAGAATATGTTACAACAAATACTGTACATTAATAAACACTTTAACACGTTCTTTTGCTTATAACTACATTACAATGTGTTATAAATCATTCATTACATGTTTAAATACTTGAATAATCTGTATCATAGCCCTCTTATGTCAGCTTTTGCTGTTACCTATTGGACAGTGAGTTAATTAGCGTCATGAATGCTACGTTAGCTTTGTGTTTGCTGATGTCAATAAGTCCCTCTAATGATACTTTAGCTTTATATCCTTTGTTTATGCTAAATAATCGGTATCTGAGCTTCA